CAGTCCGCCGCCCGGGCCCTCCGGCCTTACACGCGCCCTCTGTGGGCCTCCGTGCGCAACTGCACTCCCGGGGCCTCTGGGCTTACATGCGGCCTCCCCGGGCCTCCGTGCGCAGCTGGCCCCCCGCTCCCTGTGGGTTTACGTGTGCCCTCCCCAGCTCTCCGTGCGCAGCTGGCCCCCCGGGCCCTGCAGGCTTACGGGCGCCCTCCTCGGGCCTCCGTGGGCAGATGGGCCCCTGGGCCCTGTGGGCTTACGTGCACCCTCCCTGGTACTCCATGCACAGCTGGCCCCCCAGGCCCTCAACCCTTACGTGCGTCCTCCCCGAGCCTCCGTGCGTAGCTGGCTCCCTGCGCCCTGCGGGCTCATGTGCGCTCTCCCCAGGCCTCTGTGCGCAGCTGGCCCCCCAGCTTCTGCGGGCTTACGCGCGCCCTTCCCGGGCCTCCGTGTGCAGCTGGCCTCCCAGGTCCTCCGGCCTTACGTGCGCCCTCCACGGGCCTCTGTGCGCTGCTGGCCTCCCGGGCCATGCGGGCTTACGTGCGCCCTCCGCGTGCCTCCGTGCGCACCTGGATCCCCGGGCCCTCCGCATTTACGTGCGCCCTCCCCGGGCCTCGGTGTGCAGCTGTTCCCCCGGGCCCTCCAGGTTTAAGTGCGGCCTTCCCGGGCCTCCGTGCGCAGCTGGACCTCCGCCCCCTGCGGGTTACGTGCGCCCTCCCCGAGCCTCCATGCGCAGCTGGCCCCCCAGGCCCTGTGGGCTTACTAGCACCCTTCCCGGGCCTCCGTGCACAGCTGGTGCCCCGGGCCCTCAACCCTTACATGCGCCCTCCCCGAGCCTCCATGCGCAACTGGACCCCCGGGCCCTGCGGGYTTACGTGCGCCCTCCCCAGGCCTCTGTGCCCAGCTGGCCCCTTGGCCCCTCTGGGTGGGTGCTGAGCACACCCACTCGGGTGTCTCATTCTTTCTTTGTGAAAGCACGAGCCGCGTCTCTGTTGGCTCCAGGTGCTGCTTAACACTTGTATGACAAGGTGGTCTAGCAAAYGAAACTCAAATATTCTTACCTTACAGTTAAAATAGTAATAGCAAAACAGAAAGTTCTAAATATATACATTTTTTTTAATAGGCCGGAGGTATATGCAAATGGCAGAGGCTAAAATGGAAGTTAAATGTGAGAGAAGTTCCATAATTTCTTCCCCGGCTATGAATAGGTCTCAAATGTTGCTCTGTTCCGCTTGTTTTCCTGTACTGAAATGCACGTGTTCCTGCAGAAACGCTCTTTGCTGTAGCAAGAGCGAGGAAGGCGGGTGAGCTTTGAGGGCCCGGGTRTCCTGAGCGCGGTTGGCTTCTTGGTGACGTGGTGACGAGAGCCGCTTCCTGCCGCGGGGCTGGTCGTGCCCCGTTGCTGCGGGTGTTCTCCCCTGGCACGAGCAGAGGCTGCTCCCCTTCGCTCTGAGCCACAGGAAAATACCTCACCTGTGYGAATGGTAGAAACACATGAAGTGACTCACATGTTTAGTGTCACAAACTGGGAATCTGACTGAGCTCCAAGCAGAAATTAGGAAATCTGGGATGTTGGGGAAGCCGACAGAAACACAGATGATGTGTCTGAAAATATGTGTGCTTCTGAAGTCATGCTCGGACTGTACTGAAGGGGATCTCCCTGCCGCGAGTGAATGAATGCCGATCAGAGTTAAAAATGAAGAGTGGCTTAGGAAAGAGGAACTTAAACAATCTTCCGGTAAGCCCCAGTCCTGGGGAATTCACCTAAAATAGCCCAGCATTCTGGAAAAGCAATTACATAAAAAGGAGAATAAGGCTCTGCAACGTGGCTGACGTGGTGCCTGGGCTAAGCCCTCGAGTGCTGGGCACCTCCGGGCACCTCGCTCGGGCTGGGGAGGTCGGTGGGTCCAGCTGACAACCCCACATGTCCTGGAACTAAAGCTGTGCAGGGAGGTATCGCTGCTGGCCGCTTGRTTAAAGCAAAAAGCCACCTCCCTAAAGTAGCTCTTGTGCACTTGAATTGTTATTTACCCCCGTTTCCCTCATTTAATATTTAGCAACTCCAGGATTTAATAAATCTTTAAAGAAAATGTATGGAGCTCCAGTTTTGGTGGAAGTCTGGATTAAATGTGGGATACYGTAGATAGCTCCTAATGCCGATCAGCACAGGGAAAATCAGGCTGGTCGTGTGAGGKGGGTGTGAGGAAGAAGGAAAAACAGCAGCAGGGAGCAAAGTCAACCTCTCCGAGCAGTGAGAGATGACAGATGAACATGGGGTGCACATAACTTGACTTGAGGTTTTTAAAAGTGGACATATGTTTTGAGTAAAGGCATATTCAGCACCTGTTATAAAGGCAGGCTTTCCTTCCGCATTGTCAATTATCCAAGAGTTTGCATATAGGCAAGTTTTTGTTTTGATTTTTGTTCTGCAAGTGAAGCTCCACAGCTGTTTCTGTGAAATAGTTCACAACCTTCCAGTTTTTCTAGGGTATAGGTATTTTTTTTTTCCCTTAGAGCAGAGAAGAAGGAGCTTTATGTTTAAATGATTTCATGTTGGCACACAGACTCCTTTGGAAAGGGAGGTTTCTTCCATCGGGATTTGGTTTAGGTGTGTGCTGTGCTCCTCAGGTTGCTGAGCAAGTGGGATGTGAACTCCTCCGGAAACAGGACAGGACCATCCAGAGCCGTTCTCCTAACCAAGCATCATTGAACAAAAGTGCTAGCCAAATTGCTCGGCAGATCTAATAACAGGAGGGAAACAGGTAGAATTCCATAGATCCTGGGGGTAAAATGGGGAAAAAATTAGGAAGATGAGAGAATAAAGAGCTAKGTAACCTGCAAGCACAGCTGAGCTAAAGGCTCCTGGGTCGCTCAGTCCCGCACAGGGATGGCTGCTTTCTTGGCTCTGGGCACTGTCAATATTTGGGAAGCGTTGTGCAACGTCGGCTGCAGACCCTGCCTGCAGATSAACCACAAGCGGCCAAAGACGGCAGGGACAGGAAGGTGGTGCAATAAAAAATAAAGTGTCTTCAGCTGCCCTTTAATGTGATTTAGGGGAAAACGGGCGAACGCGTGGAGCGTTAAGCCTTGGCAAAAGAAAACTAGTTAAAAAGTGGATGGCTCCTGCTGAGCGATAATATAAAACTGCTGAGCAGCTTTCTGCTGTAAAGACAGCATGGACCTTCTAAATGCTGACATCAKTTGTTTTGAAAATGCCAAAGGTCTTTCAGATTCACCCCAGAGCATGGTAGATGGAGCGAAAGGCCAAGAGCCACTAGGTTGCAGTGCATGGTACTGCTTTAATGGKTTTTTTTTATTATTATTTTTATTTTTTGGACTAGAACTGAACACAGTTACAGAAACCATCTCATCTGCGAGGAAATCCCAAGAGCTGTTCTAAACTGGAGAAAACTTTGTGCCAGTCTCTTAAAAACCAACTTAGCCATTAAATAATGTGCAATTAAAGGGCACAGCTGGCAAACCAGTTTGTTTGACTCCGACAACAACCACTCAGCTCTTCAAGTGGAACGAGTCCAGAGAGTCTCTTTCAGGGAGAGTTTGACTGACCTTGCATAATACCTCTTGTGTAAGTGATTTAGCGACTGTTGTGCTTCACAGCAGCTGTGTTAGTTGTCATAACCATGGGCGCTTCTTGCAGTGTGATGTGACCAGCACCCTAGCAGCCCATTCACCTACATTAGACCTAGAGTTGAAGGGAGGARAAACCTGTGAAACCCTTTTTGGGCAGGAACTGTCCATACCGCTCACACRGCCTGCAGCTCGATCCAGACTCGAGTCTCTGCCTGCTCAGGGGGAAAAAATGCTGAAAAACACACAAAACTTTGCCAATGCCCTGGTGCTTTCTTCCAATCCGCATCTGTTCCATAAAATGCATGAGTGGCTTGGGATTGCTGCGGCCTTGGTTCATGAGGGAGCTCGTGTGCCGGAGTGGTGCCACAGGAGAGGCGAGAGCGCTGCGGGGAGGCCACCTGCAGCCTGTCTCTTGAAGCCAGTTTGCTACCTGTGTGCTAAGGCAGCAAGAGCAAGTTGTAGGAAGTGCCAAGAGAAAAGCTGCCTGAATTCCTTGCCATGTTTGCAAGGGGGTTGGGGTAGAAATGCCTGTAAAGGGGGGGGGGGGGGGGGTCTTGTTTCTACAGCTCTTCCTGTGCAAAAGAAGTGCTTCAGAGATGGGATCTTGGAGATGCTGCTTTCTTATTAACTAAACTCTTGCATGGTGAATTGCCGCATGCAGGGGCAGCTCGTGCTTTAAGCAGCACGGTGCCCCCGTGCAGGGAAGGGCGAGAAGCCGACAGCGCTGCAGCTCGCCGTGGTTTTCTCCATCCTCGTCAGAGACGATGAGCAGCAGAGYCATTTCCTCTCCCGGCCCCTGCTTGCGGTGTCTGAGTCATGAGATAAAAGGGATCTTTCCTTTAGCTGATACTTGCCATCATTCAGGCAAATTTGCTTGCCACGTTGCCTGTTTAAGCTGCTTCTGCCTAGCGCAGGCACAAACCAGCAAGCTAAAATCCACTTTTTCAATGAGATTCCTCTCCCGTCACTTAGAATTGTGCTGAACCTGTAAAAACTCACCCAATCAAGCCACAAGCATCAAAGGCATTCAGTGTGTGTAAACCTTGAACAAAAGCGTTTTGCTTTCGCTATCAGAAAACCCTCCATTTCGGTGATAAACCCCTGAGATGGCCAAGAAACACCCGCCGAAAGCAGCTCGGAAGCTCGATTTTCACACGAGCGGATCGAGCGTGGATGCACGCGCTGGGAGCAGCTGCCTCCCACCCAGGGCTGCCGCCCTTCCCGGCTGCTCCAGGTAGGGATCCGGCAGCGCTGGAGCATCCGGGCGGGCCGTGGAGCCCGTGGGCCGCCCCGGCCTGGCAGCACGTGACTGGAGCCCGGCGTGGGGTGACGGGCCCCTTCCAATTGCGAGGCAGGGAGCGCATGACATGCGATGCGCGGAGCTGCCTTGTGGGCGCTCGTTTAAAAATAGAGGCTGTTGCAGAGCTGCGCGCGGGGAGGCTGCGGGGCCGCTGCGGAGCTCCGGCCATGCGCTGTAAGGCGGCACCGGGGGCGCGGGGAGCTGGAGGGGGCCGGGGGGCAGCGGAGCCGAAATGCAGGTGTCAGCCCCGCAGGAGCTGCGAGCGGCTGCTGGTTCCCGTGCGGGAGACGGGAGCGGTGTTTTGCCCCGATTAGGCTTTTCCCGCGATCCAAGTGTGTTGCTAATGTGCACTTAATCCACTATTAGAATTTACTGTGTTTTATGCAAATACAGCAATTTTGAGYCCTGTCTGCCTTGATCAGGTAGCGGCAGACAGCAATGGAAGCAGATTTCAGCATGGCATTTGATTTTTTTTTTAATTACTACTTTTTTTAAATATATGTATGTGTTTTTGCAGGGACAATGCTGTGTGAGACAGATACCCGCGTGGCAGTCGTGGAACCAGTTCCCGCAGTTTATCTTAATTCAGATGCTCAAGCGAAATACGAAGTGTCTCTAGATGACGTACTGGTCAACTCTTCAGCTAGGTTGGTCTAATTTAAGACTTGGTCTTCTCTGTATATATGGCTTTTAATGCTTATTTAGCATTAGTATATAGCTTTAGTATATAGCATTAGTATATAGCTTTTAATGCTTATTTAGATTAATTGAGGCATTAAGATTTCAGGGGGAGGGGAAAGAAATTTCAGATATTTGGTGCTACTTTAAAAATTTGAAAAAAGCGTGTACCATCTGGTTATTTCATAAGGAGAAAACACTTGCTGCATGGAATTACCACGCGGAATCCAGAGCCTGACTTATATAGTAAATGCTCAAGCTATTTCCTATTTGAAGCATAGGAATGGTAGAATATTTGGTGTTTGTTAAAAAGATCACCTCTCATAAAGGAACTGGGTTACATCTGCTTAGTTGGGAGGCACTTCTAAAATACTTAGAGTGCATAATAGGCAGATACATTTGTTTGTGAAATGTTCCTATGCATAGGCTGATATTTATCAGCCTAGACAACGGGTTAGTCCATCTGCGGGTCGAAAGAGCCTCTTTCCTAGAGAACAGATTAGTAGTTAAGGGTTTAAACCCCATCGCAGTTTAATGGGATGTAGCTGACAGACTTGCAAGACAATATATATTCTTTTTTCATGCAGAATTTGAATTGCACATAGTAGAAGGGAGAAAAAAAATAGCTTTTGATTCACTGCGAGGGAAACAGCTGAAATTCTTTTCTGCTTATTTTACTGAGTCACTCGCATGCTCTGATTATAAAAGCAGGTGGTGAAATGATGCCAAACTCTTGCAACTGAGGATTAATCTGTGCTCTGAAAAGGTCCTCAGTAATGAGGAAATGCAGAGTAAGAAAGATCTAGCAACACCTGCAAGGGAGTTAAAAAAGAACTTAGTTACTTCTCTCTGGTTTCTAGCTTACAGATTAGGTCAGAGAGGCAATTCTGCTTTTGGACAGTATGCAGGACTAACCAATACTGCATCTCTCTACTCCTTAAGCCCTGTGATATCAACGTGCAAAGCAATTGTAGCTTTCCACCCCCAAGAAATTCAGAGAATAGAGGCAGAATAATAGGGGCAGTTTGCTCTTTATGCCGAAGTTCACATACTACCTGGTGCTGATTTCTCTTTTTGATTTAGTAGGAAGGAAGGAAATGTGGCATTTAGGTGGAACCAAGGCAGAACTAGGCTGAGGATTTTGCCCAGATTCAGGGCCAATGAGGCACTTGGCAAGTGCATTCTCATCATGATAGACAGAAGTATCGGGGATTATTTCAGTTTCAGAATTGCCCCCGTGGAGATACGGGGATGTGCACAGGGCTCGGTAAGTTGGGGGTGATGTCTGTGATGTCATGAGACCCTGGTGCGTTCCAGAAGACCAGGGCTCTTGCAGACCCCACATGGGAACACGGGCGGTGCTCCCCTCTCCGAAATCTGGGGTCAGTACATAAAGAAAAAGGCAACTTCTCTCCAAAAATCTCTGAAAAATCGCAATGGGGAGGAGTAAGTATCTAGCATTGATGTAAAGAAACAAGCACCTTCATGACAGCCTGGAGCAAAGGACTCCTGGAAGGACTACTCAGCAAGGCAAGATGGAGCTTATATTTAATTTTTATACAAAATTATAAATATGAATACAAATATATAAATACAAAATTATATCTGAGATCAAATTCTGAGTAGATGGAACTTGGACTGTAGTGCTTCAGATAATGGTACAAATAGGGCATTAGTGCAGGGTGTGTGGAACAAGTCCCAGGRTATGGAAACAAGTATTGTTTTCTGGTAGTCGGGGGTGAGAGGTGTCCTTGCAGGGAGCAGAGCGCAAAGAATCAGATGTCAAATCTCTCGGGACGTAGCTTTCACCTTGGGGGCTGAAGATGGGGACATGCGACTCAGTAATTCTGTATCCCCACTGCTCACGGGTCTCTGGTTCTTCTGTTTGCAAAGGGGAGGAGGAAGAACCATGGTCTGCAAAACCTAGCACGAGGCTTTTTAGCAGATCTCACAAGGTTGAGAATGAAAGGGGCAACTGCCAACTGTTATATTGGTGCAAGTTCCCTGTGAGGGGCATGGTTAAAGAAAAGGAAAATGCCTGTTTCAGTTTCTTCACGGAAAAGAACTGCTGGAGCCTGTTAGGATACCTAAGAGGAGATTTCCTGCTAAAATAATTTCCTGCTCTTCAGCTGGCCTAGCCTTCTGCAGGAAAGGTTCCTCTCCCAAGCTCTCCCAAGGTTACTAACATGGTGACAGCACAGGAAGCTGCTGGGGTCTGTCCTGCTCTTTGTCTCTGCTGTAGGCTTTGTTTCAAGCATGTACAGCACAGATGCGATGCTCAATTCTACCTGCTCTTCTAGMCACTGGGTTTATGGCCTCTTCTGCAGCTTATCTGAAAGGATAATTACAGTTAGGACAGTGCACACGGGGGTATGAAAACAACTCGGGCCAAGCTTGAGGGTGTCTGAGGTGGGGTTGCAGCACGGCRATCCGTGCAGAGCTAGTAAGAGGAATCAGAAAGCCAAGCAGAGAAAATCAGGAACCACTAATCCTTGCTTGGCATCTGAAATGAACACCTGAACAACGTGAATGAACTTGCATTGTTTTAATGCAGTGTGTTAAAGCCTAACCAGTATTAACTGCTTTTGCCTTGCAGAGCTGTTGAGAACAACGCTGAGACAGTTGAGGATACTAAGGCAGAGGGAGCTCAAATGGACATGTTCCGTTACAGAGGTAAACAGCAACTAGTGGCTGTTGTGTACCTAGAATTATTACTTAAATGAGAGWAACTAAACACTGGAAGAGGAGCCTCAAAAATACAGGATAGTCCCTCCAGTAATCTCATGAAYTTACAGTGAAGCACTGGTGATGGCTTCAAGCAATCAAATGGGTAGCGTCACAGCCTAATGCATATCTACCAATAGTCACGTGCTTCTGTTCTCCCCCAAAAATGTGCAGTGTATTTGGCTGTTGCAGGAGGCTGCCACATTTACCTGCACAGAGCTTTTGAGTACAACAGGGTCATCCTGTGAAGCAGATTCAAGGGCAGGATTATTGAAAAGGGACGTAGCTTCCTGAATGTATTTTGAGGCTTCACCTGCTCATTCTTCTCTTAAAATAATGGATATAAGTCAGGAGAGAGGTCCTAGCATTGGCTTTCATTCATTTGATGTATGTGTGAGCACATGCATGTGGGCAGCCACTCCTATTTTGGTAGCAATTTCTAAATACAAAATATTGAACATTTTTCTTCCAAAACAGTATTTGCCTCTTCTGGTCCTGTTGCATGGACAACACGACGAGATGGAGAAGTCAAACTGAGGATGGAGGAACATGGCATAGGCAGCGAGGAACCCAAGACAGTTCACGCGCTGCTTGACGAAGCCGTTAAAAAATATGGCAATCGTTATGCCCTTGCSTACAAAAGGGGTGGCCGTTGGATGAGGATGTCGTATAAGAGGTACTACGAGGAGTGCTGGACTGCAGCAAAAAGCTTTCTGAAGGTAAACTGTGGTTGGATTCCCCTCCTTSATCTTCAGACAGCTTGACTGCTGGAGCGGCTATAGTCACCTGTATCTGGAATCTGCAAATTCTTTGGGTAGCTGAGACCTGAAGTGACAGGGAAATACCTGAAAACAGCCAAAACCATCTTGCCAATTATCACAAAGTCTTTTTTAAAAAAATTCTTACAAGCTGCTTCCTCATGCAGCTAAATGAAAGTGAGTATGAAAACATGAAAGAGGAGGTATTTGAAACGTTTGGCAAACCTGGACAAAAGCCCTTCGAGAGACATGTAACTCTAATCTTTACAGGCAAAAAACTTGAAGGGATACATATGAAATGGCTTAGGAATTATTTAGGCAAACTGGCCACCCATAAATCTATGGGCCCTGATGGGATGCACCCAAGAGTGCTGAGGGAACCGGCAGTGGTTGTTGCTCAGCCACTCTCCATCACCTTAGAGGTCATGGAGGTGGCGGAGGAATGGAAGAAACCAATGTCACTCCAGCCTTCAAAAGGGCAAGAGGGAGGAGTTTGGCCAAGGAGCCAAGCTCTTCTCATAGGTGGCCAGTGCCAGGACAAGAGGCAATGCAAGTTGAAACCCAAGCAGTTCCATCTCCATGTGAGGAAGAACAACTTTGGTGTGAGGGTGCCAGAGCCCTGGCACAGGCTGCCCAGGGAGGTTGTGGATTCTCCTTCTCTGGAGGTCTTCAAAACCCACSTGGGAAAGGGACTCTCTAGAGGTCCTTTCCAACCTCAGCCATTCTGTGGTTCTGTGAATTCAACTTAAATGAAAAACTGTCTAAACTTTGGCTGTACTGTTGGRCGTTAAGCTGCTCAAAAGAAAGAAATGACCCCTATATGTATTTCCTGTTACCATAAAGTTGCCCTTTTTGAAGACAGGGCCCTTCTTTTTTTCCACCCTAGTGTGGACGCTTCCAGTGCCKGTAATTGTGCTGCAAAGCCAGAGAGAACAGTCGAAGTGCTTTTAAAGACTTGGGACGTCAGTGTTTGCAATTTAAGCACAAAATGCCTGTGACTGTCATGGGAACATGTTGTTCTTGACATGTATTAATGCCTGATATATCCAATCTGCATTAAATTGCTATCTCTGAGCAGGTGGTTGTTTAGCTTACCTCTTACCTTCTTCCCAGCCCAAGACCACAGAGAGAATTGATGCCTAGCTATTATTGCAGCTTTACGATATTGTTTGTGTTAGTGAATGCAGACCTATGCATGTTTGGTTTTTTTTCCCCTGCCTATTGATGAAGTAGGAGAACGTGTTAACACAAAACTTAACCGACTCCATGCTAAGTCTCAGGGCTTCTTTCAATATGAATTACTCCATCTAGTAGCATGAACGCTTCTCTTGACGTAGTGCTTGCGGCAAAGGTGTGTCTGTTCAAACCAAGTGTTCTGCAGTGGGAAAGCAAGAGGGCTGTAATCTCCTCTCTCGTTTTCAGCTGGGACTYGAGCGTTTCCACGGCGTTTGCATCCTGGGATTTAACTCTGCGGAGTGGTTTATTGCTGACATCGGAGCGATCCTTGCAGGGTGAGACCGAGTATTGTCTCTAGCCATGCACTGTACTTCAGCTTTCAGATAGTCACTTGCGTATTACATGAGAAGCTGTCTTTGATTAAAATGACAAACAGAGAAAGAAAACAAAAAAGTGCTGCCTAATTTGAATGTAATGAGGATAGCTAAAGCCTGAACCATCCTTTTACTTGATTATTAATTAATAAGACTCAAAAACATTTTTAGCCATATACTTCTCTCAACTTAAACAACAAGTTAATCCAAAAGCATGCTGACTTGCACTTTGCTTAAGAATATGATGATGAGAAAGGCTAGAGACTGATTTTTTTGATAGCTTTTCTTTTTCCATCTGAGACACTTCGGGCCCTTACAATATTTTGACATTTCCCRTGCCTCAGAACAGAGCCTTTCCTTTTAAAACTAAGACCTTGACCTAGAAGAGGCTGATTCTTTGTCAATGATGCTGCTTATCTGCTCATTTTGCATATTGCTCTGTTTGTTTTTTGTAGTGGACTTGCTGTTGGTATCTACACTACAAGCTCTCCCGAGGCCTGCCACTATATTGCTGAGAACTGTAGTGCTAACATTATCGTTGTGGAAAACCATAAACAGCTGCAGAAAATCTTAGAGGTAAATACACCTCTTAACATGGATGGAGGCTCCAGCATCCTCCTGGCAGATGTGGGAGGGTAAAGATGCCTGTGGGAGATGCTCTCTCTGAAAGCAGAGCTGAACCCATCGAGCCTTCCTGGTGTGTTCCCAACTCAAGCCAGACAAGCAGTCTCCGGTGCTGTCTCACTGTCCACTGGAACTGGATTCCATTCCATTCACTAGAAGGGAAATGGTTGTTCCTCAGTAGAGCAAAACCTCAAGCTTAAAATATCACAAGCTAAAATGAACAACTGAAAATCTCCTAGGTTGTCTGGCCACATTCCAGTCCAAATGACGATTGTCTCTGCTGAAGTTTCCCTTTTCTCTTTCAAAAAATTCTCTTAACTGTAAACAGCAAGTGGCACATTCCATTGTGCAGACAGTTGCGTGTTCACCAGGGGGTTATTTAGAGTAAATCCTGCTTACTCCTTTTAACACTTCTGATGAATCTCACTTCTTAATACAGATTGAGCATAAATTACCTCATCTGAAAGCGATTATCATGTATGGGGAAGAGCCAAAGGAGAAGAGRCCAAACCTATATTCTGTAAGTACCAGCCATCTTAATGGCTTGTAAGTGGCAGCGTTTTGCGTGGTGGTCACAAGCAACCGTCCCTCCTGTGGGACAGCCACCACCAGTGTTCCTGTTGCCTTTGGGGAGGTCCTAGCTTAAGTGGTAGGTCTACCTAGCACTTGCCTAGCTTAAGTGGTAGGTCTTTAGCATTGCCCAAAGCTTGACAATCCCTTTCAGAAGGGAAGGGTGCCGGTGCACCGACCTCTGTGAAGTAGTGTAAGGCCCCAGAGTTATTCCTGCTTGGCSCTGCCAACGCTGCCCACATTGCTGCGATGCAATGTACCCGCAAAAGACTAATGTTCTGAGTATCACTTGCTGCATTTAAAAACAGCACACTCCGAAGGGAGAGCCTGTGTTCATATGGACAGCWGCACTCTTCCTGTGGGCAGTGCTTTGTACATTTGTAACCGTGGAGGCCCAAAGTTCACCCCCTTGAGAGTCCCCTCTCGCACGGCGCTGCCGCACTGAGCCCCTGGGGCTGCCCTCTTGGTCAGGGTACRAGTAAAACCGCAGCAAGTCACTGCTGCAGAACTAGAAAACTTCGTCGAGGTCGAGCTCTCCTTTCCTGCTCCCTTCCCTGCCTCCTGTGACAGCCAGAAATACCATGGTTAATACCGTGCTTTTCACACCCTCTTACAAAGTCTGTACTGAGTATGGACAGAGGGCTTCTAGTGTTTTGTGGTGTTTTATGTGTCTGTTGCTTTGCAATTAAACTGCTTGTCATTCAAGTAACGCAAACAAGTTTCCTTGACTTCCTGTGTGGCAAAGGGTTTAATTTTGTGTGTGAAAGCCGACAAGATGCTGAAGCTCTTCTTTCCTGCGTGCAGTGGCAGGAGTTCATCGGCCTCAGTGCTCAYGTTACAGACAGTAATCTCTTGGATGTTGTGGAGTCGCAAAAGCCGAACCAGTGCTGCACCCTAATCTACACCTCAGGAACCACTGGACAGCCAAAGGGAGTGATGCTGAGCCATGACAATGCAAGTATCTGCTGCCAGAGAGGCCTGTGTCAAGAACTGGGCACTTGGGGCGTGCGAGGGAGGTAGAGATCAGCTAAAGGCCAGACCTCGTCTTAAAATTGCCAGGRGTCCTAGACTTGCTTTGTGAGCTGCATGTTCTGTTTTGTACCTGCTCAGAACGGTTGTCACTTAGTGCTAACTTGGTTCCTTTCGCTCCAGCTGACGTGGACGGCAGCGGCCGCGGGGGGGTTCATACAGCTCTCGGACGCTTTGGACAAGCAAGAGCTGGTGGTGAGCTACCTGCCCCTCAGCCACATCGCGGCGCAGATGATAGATATTTGGTTGCCATTAACTTTCGGTGCCCAAGTTTTCTTTGCTCAACCAGATGCACTGAAGGTAAAATAGAAGTTCATAAAAAGTCTATACCTATATACCTGTTTGCTGATGCTTTATTTTTTTMGCTCACTTTATTTGCATAGCAGCAGATTGCTCCTGTTTAATGGTCTGTTAGTTTGAGGAGTGTTGCATGTCTGACCTTTGCTTTTYGGCTTTGTTTTACAAGTTAGGATGAGCTGACCAAGCACTTGGCAGCGAGAAGCTCCTTCGTATCTGACCTGACACTAGTTTTCTGCTTTAATATCATGGTTGAGCAACAGCTTTGTATTTGCTCTGTTCTTATTGCAAAATGTCACTGCAGTTAAGTCTGTGTCCTGAGAAGAGACCGGTGAGATGACATAGCCTAGATGCTGCGGCAGCATGAGTCTTGAACATGGACCCTTGCTGCGTCTTCAAAACAGCTTGGGTGTCTCTGGAATTCGTTATTCCTGTGGAGCATGGCAAGATGAGGACTGGTGTTTTCTGGTGATGCTTTGTTTGCCCTCAACTGTGACATTTCTGTTTAAAAATGAAGCAATTCCTAAAAAGTGGCMGAATCCCAGGCCCCAGCCAGTGACCAGTGCTGACCTGAGGTCCGTRCAAAAATGGTTCTGAAAGTTGTATTCAATTCTCTTTCCCTTAGGGCACTTTGGTGGACACCCTGCGGGAGGTGAGGCCGACCGCCTTCCTGGGAGTTCCTCGCGTCTGGGAGAAGATGGAAGAAAAAATGAAATACGTAGGTGCAAAATCGTCTGCACTCAAAAGGAAAGTGGCGTCGTGGGCCAAGGAAGTCGGGTTGCAGACAAACCTGAAGCAGATGAACGGGTAATTACTACCTACGTTTAAAGGGTCTTGTGAATCTTAGGAGCCAGAGTATCGGATGAGAATTTGTATTGCATGTAATGGGCYGGGACTTGTGGATAATGGAGCTCAAAGGGCTCAGAACTTGTTTTGTGTGGGGAAGAGGATTTTTGGTTTTGTTTTACTCGAATAAGCTGCAGCTGGAGGAGGATGAGAGGAGTGGGGAGAAGTTTTCCTTTGGGTCTGAGACTTGGAGGTGGATCTGTTGCAGGAATACCCAGCGCCCGGTGAACTTCCGCTTGGCCAGGCACTTGGTTTACAAGAAAGTGCGAAAGGCCCTTGGGCTGGATCGGTGCACGAGGTGCTACACGGGAGCTGCTCCCATCACCAGAGAGACCCTGGAGTTTTTCCTGAGCCTGAACATTCCTGTATACGAGCTGTACGGCATGAGCGAGTGCTCCGGGCCTCACACCATTTCCCTGCCTCACGCCTTCAAGCTGAGCAGGTAAATACTCTTTTGAGCAGGTAAATACCCTTTTGAGGAAGCAGGGGATTTATGGGAGGAAAGAATAATTAGTAATTGCAGCCTACAGTTCAACGTAATATCAAATTAATAAAGGCCTTGGACAACCCGCTGCTGCTTTGAATGGCTTGTTCAGTCCTCAGGTGTCTGGTCTACAGAGTAAATGCCATTATGTCAGTAATAGTTTGCTGTCAAGAACATAAATCTTCTCATTTGAAATCTCAGGTGTTGGGCAACAATACATGGAAAACACCAGGTGTGTGAGCACTGATCTCTCTGCAATAATAAGTTTTTTGTAGTTTCTCTTACAAAAGCAGATGTCTTTTATGAATTCCCTGTAGCAGCAGTCGTTAGTAACAGCCTGCTTGCCTTTGTTCAAACACTTTATCCGGAGTGGGTGCTGTTGTCCTCTCGCTCTGCTGCTGAGCTACTGCATCAACGAAAAAAAAAATAGTTGAATTTGGGTTGTGTTCTCTTTGTTTAAGCTGCGGAAAGGAAATTACAGGCTGCCGGACACTGATCTATAAGCCAGATGCTGAGGGCAATGGGGAGATCTGCTTCTCTGGAAGACACATCTTTATGGGCTATTTGAACATGGAAGCTAAAACCAAGGAGGCCATCGATAAAGACGGCTGGCTGCACTCGGGCGACCTCGGCAAGCACGATAAGGACGGATTCCTCTACATCACGGGCAGAATTAAAGGTGACGCGGCCTCGCTTTGGAGCTGTTGTCCTGGGGATGGAGGATGCAGCTGTGCAGCCCTTGGTCTGCCTGGGGGAACTGCTCCCAGTGAAGCTTTGAGCACGAACGCGCCTGCAGCGTGTGCAGAGAGGGTGTTAGCGGAGAAGGGAGGCAACCTTTGCACCTGAGAGGGAGTTGGAGAGCAAGAAGAAACCCTCTGCTTGTCCCGCCGCGCTGGACCCGCGCGCGCTGCCACCTCTGCTCCATTCCAGCCGCCTTTGCTGCTCGAGCTGTTGCTTTCTACTAAAGGTCAATTTTATTGTGCATGTGGCTTGCAGCAAAGTGCTTCTGGGCAGGGTGCCCTGCGCCTTGACCAGCGCTAAACAGATTCACATAGGATTGCAATGCAGCTTCACATAAGATTCCAATTATTAAAGAGAGAACCAGTCACGTGGAGGGATTCTTTAAGAGTTTTGTAAGAGACAGCCAAGAAAAGCAGCTTCACTTCTGCTACGTAGCACCGTGTGTAACGTCTAAAACTTTGTGCTCTGCCACAGGCGAGTTTTGACGTAGAAGTTTCTGCGCAGCTTTGGTATTAACTTGCCCATTTTCTCCAAGATGACTCCCTGGCAGAGCACGAAGGTGCTGGTGCTTCTGCTGCAAACATCAGGTTTCCAAACTAGGAGCATCCCTGCAGCATTAAAGCAGCTTTGGATGTGCTGCTCGCTTGTGAACCTTGGCCTCGTGTCGCCGAGCCCAACGAGAGTCCTCCTAGGTGGCTGCTTCACAGGAATGTCGGGACACAGAAACMCGCTTTGATCTGTGTAGGCACAAAGGTGCTATAAAGTAACTTCAGACTGGGAAGGAAGGAAGGATGGAAGGGAGGGGAGGAGGGAGGAAGAAGCTCTAGGCTTTAATGGAGGTTTGACTGTCTTCCAGAGCTCATCATCACTGCTGGAGGTGAGAACATTCCCCCTGTTCCGATTGAGGATGCTGTAAAAGAGGCTGTTCCCATCATTAGCAACGCGATGTTGGTTGGAGACAAAGCAAAATTCCTTGCTATGCTCCTAACACTAAAGGTAGGATGGATTCTGCCTACTTARAAGGACACAGATTATTTTGCATGTGTTCAGTTCCAAGGGCGAGCCTAAGTGCTGAGTGTTCTATAGTATCTCAATTCTTCTAGAAACCGCAGGCATCACGGAGCAGGAGTTGCTTTAGCTGCGTAGCCAACACCAGTTTTAGCAACACAGGAAAATGAGTATTTGCCACCTGATCAAGTAAAATTCTTTTTTTCTCTGTACCATCTTGGATGGAAAACAGAAGGAAAAGAGAAGCAAAAGACTGTCAGACAGTTAAAGAAATCCTTGTGCATTTCTTACCCTTTTGAAGGCTGTTTTTCAACTCTGTAGTGACACCTTCACAGTCATCTGCAGAGACACTTCTGTCTAGGACTGGAGAGGCCCTGCAGGCCTGTGTTTTGCAGGACACTGGTAATTGCTTCTGAGGGAGGCCTTGGCTGCCACCCTCTGTCCTTGTGGAATGGGCCCTGAGCCAGGCCCTGGAGCTGCTTGGGCTGCGCTTGTTGCTTGGGCTGCCACCTGTGTCCCTTTCCAAGGGCCTGTTGTGCTGCTCTGGGATGGAGTAAGGAAAGGCASACCAGGAAAAGGGAGAGAACCAGGGAAGAATTTGGAAGAATTTGGTTCTTTCATAGCCCACTTGCTCCCTCAGAGCAAGACCCTCACAGCTCAAGCCTTGCAGAGGTTTGAGGTGGTTTAATTTGCACTCTGCCTCGGTGGGTTTCTGTTGGAAGCCTTGGTCCTGCGGCGCTCGCAGGAACGACCGCGGTTGATCAATTGTACYGGTGCTGCTGGGGTGGGGAAGGAGGTAGAGCCGCTTGCAGCTTCCCAGGGCTGTCAAACTCCTCAGTGCAGAAGGAGACGAGGGTTTGGTCATCCTGACGTTACCTGTTCCCTCTTGTCTCGTAGTGCCAGGTAAATGAGGAAAGTGGGGAGCCAGGAGACGACCTCACTCCAGAAGCCATTGAATACTGCCACAAACTGGGCAGCAAGGCGACCAAGATCTCCGAAATCATACGGAGCAAAGACCCAGCCATCTACACTGCTATCCAGAAGGGAATTTCAGCAGTCAATGAGAGAGCGGTCTCCAATGCCCAGAAAGTCCAGAAGTGGGCGCTGCTGGAGAAAGACTTTTCCATCTTTGGGGGAGAGCTTGGTGAGTGGTGACACGTCTAGGCTTAACCACAACCATCCTTGCCAGGGATGGCTAYCACAGAGCCTTCAATACGCAAACCCAGCCAAGGCCTTTCCTCTGGTGCTCTACCGTGTTGTAGTTTCGTCTGTTTTGGGATTATCCAGTTCCTTACTTCTAAACAGAGCTTTGGGATAGGGCGGCCCTTCTAAACAGGCTAGGTAGGTGCAAGGCAACGCTGGCCCCTGTGGCCGTGCAAAGGGCTGTGTCCAACACAGCTCGTTGCTGCTTCTCCTTGTAAAGCAGATCTTCCTGTCCCAGCAGGGTGGGATGGATTATCCCATACTTCCTAACTCCGTTCAGACAACAACTCGCCCGCTGGGGCCGAGTTTTGCCTCAACTGGTGTGTGGAAAGTTGTGCTGGGGGAAGAAACGGTGCCTTTTATTCATCACAAAGAGCAGAGGAGCTCTGCTTGTGCTGTCTGAACCTTCTCTGGGCCTGGCTCAGCCTAATCCCGAGGTGTGTCTGGGAGCGACAGCAGCTGTAGAATCCGCCCTGTTTAAAGCCCTGCGTGGTGTTTCCCTCCCGCCAGGCCCAACCATGAAGCTGAAGAGAGCGGTGGTGGCTCAGAAGTACCAGGACCAAATCGCCCGGTTCTACACGGACGCCGAGACGCCCACGACAGAGAGCGCAGCTCAGAAGTGAGCCGGAGCCCGCGCCGAGCGCCCGGGGGCCGAGCGCGCCGTGGCCACGGACTCCTAGTTGCATTTGCTGAAATAAAGGAGGCTCGGGCATCAYACAGCCCCTCTGAATCGCTTCACTGAATGACTTCTGGCCCTCTTACTGCAGGATGCTGCGGGTGCCCAGCCCTTGCTTATGCGTTTATTCTAGTGCAGAGATATTTATAAATATCAGTGTCGTTATTTTCTTTTTATAAGGACAAAAATCTTTGCAGAATAGCTCCATCAGCAATTTGTTATTTATCATATAAAACTATGGTATACTGTGATTKTTGTAACCAAAGGTTTTTTTTCCGTAAGTTGAATGTAAAACAGAAGCAGCAGTTTTCYTGCAGTGGGGAAGGCTGTGTGCTTTTCATGACTGTGCATTTCTTTTTCCCTTGCTGTGTGTTTACCTGCATGCTGATGACATCTGAATTACTTCAAACCCTACTTTCCCACAGCATGTCTTCTGTCAGCTAAATGTGCTGTAGAGCAGTACACGTGGGCTAAGTGTCTAAAACCTGGGCTTTACAAGGTCTGTGCAATATATCGAGCCTCAGTTCTAGCCTGCTGAGTTATATCGTTAAAAATACACACGGCCTGTGTCAGGAGCAGCATTGCCCAAAGGGACTAGTTCTAAAGCTGAACAAATGTGTGTGAAACGGGGCTGTAGTCTCAGTCATAGAAGGGGTGTCTAGGGCTGAGGTCGGGGTAGGTGCATGTGTAGAGAGGAGAGAGCTGCAGCAAGGAGGTTGTTCCAAGGGCAGAGCTGGGATCGAACACTCCAGAAAAACATCCAAAACAAATGGCCTTTGCCCTTACCTAATTCGGTGCAGGTCCAAGCTGGATTTGGAAAGCTTTCTACAAAGTGTGGGTCAAAGTACCCCCTAATAATAACTCCTGAAGGTCTTTAAGGAAGCTCCATGAGAGCAGAGCAGAAATGCAGATCTGTCTAATGCAGGGAGAGACTGTTGTGATTACAAGAACAAATAAAGAATTCCTTGTAAAATGGCTTATTTCAAACTGGATCTTGGTACAATAAAATGGGCACAGCTGCACTCGGGTCTCACGCAGTGTCTCCCCGTCCCGGCGGCCGCTGTGGGTGCCTCACGCAGGTGGGCACGTCCTGAAGCTCCGGCCTCCACGCAGGGAGAGCTGCTGCCTCAGCGGTGGCTGGACCAGCAGCTCCTTGCTGCGGTAGGCAGCGACAGTGCTTGCAACGGGGCAACTTCAGGAGCTTTTTAAACCTAAGCCTTTACATCTACTCTGGGCTTAAGCCTAGAGCAAACAGCTAAGGCAAAGGCTCCTTCCCCCTCTGCCTGCAGCACAACCCCTGCTCCTCTTGTGCAACCCTTGTGAAGCATGTTTCAACTTTAGGGTGAATGTCTGATAAATAGCTTAAAATCCCAATTTGAGTCTCTTATGCCTTGAGTAACCCCTACAAAATAACTCCCAGCTATGTGCTGAGCTCAGGCTCATACACCTGGCTGAGCAGGTAAATGCTTAACTCGGCCTTAAGCTGCAAAGGAAACGGGGAGTTCGAGCAGACTTGTTCCCCATTATCCTCGCTAAAGCTCTTGCCCTCAGCAGCAGCGGCAGGAGAACACCGTGTACGTCATGTTTAGTAGAAGGGGAAGTTCTGCACGTGGGGCAGTCCCAGCTCTCGCTCTCTGCTTCACTGCTCTCAAGTTTATGCCCCAGCCTGCATTGAAGCAGGTTTATGCGCTGGGCTTGGGGCCAAGCAGCTCAGGAGGTGATGGGCAACAGCTCTGGGAAGGTGAGTCTGGGGCTAGGAGCAGCCCCACGGTGCCTGCAGGGCACGAGTGGCACTGGGGCTGCACCCAGCACATGCAGTAAGCGAGGCCTAGGGCTGAGGCCAGAGCTTGCGTCTTCCACACTGGAAACACTTAGATGAGACCTGCGAGAAGCTCATGCTGCTTCCCCGGGAGAATGCATGCAAGGAAGAGCAGCAGTAACAAAAAACACCTTGAACTCTTACTTTTCCATCTTACTTTATTTCACTTTTTCTAGAAAATTCCTCCATAGTTCCACAAATTTAACAAAAAGTTTAAAATTCAGGACAAACAATCCTGTAATGTATTACAAACATGATTTTTTTTTTCCTTTTTTTCTTTTTTTTAATCCTGAAGTTAGTCTTGGGCCAGCTGAATTTCTCACAGCTGAGTGAAGAACGCATTTCCCAACCAACTTCTAAAATCCTCAAGTGACAAGGTATTTAATACCTTGGCTCTAGGCAGAAATACAATTAAAAATTATCTAGACGTTGAAGTACTTACATTTTCTTTCGGAGTGCAAAACTCATCTCTTTAGCTTTTGATGGCTCTTTCACGCCCCCATGAGAAGACCAATTGATTTTTCTTTTCGTTTCCACCTTTTCCAAGCAACACGCGGTCCCGGTGCGCAGGGGTCGGCTCCAGCCTCGGCAGAAGCGCGCGGGCGAGCGCCAGGCACCCGCGTCGAACGCAGCCTCCTTCTGCGTGCGCTGCCCGGGCCGTAGTGCATTAGAGAACGCTGCTGTTGAAATTTGCTGAACCAGAGTGCCCGAGAACACGACGGGGGGCAAAGCTCCACGAGGGGATTTGTTACGTCTTGCCATCAAATAACGTTCCGGATCTGACAAAAACCAACTGGTGCCTGGAGTGTCGCATCCGCGTCTTTCCTAGCTGGGATGCTGCCACCGCACGCAGTGGTGTCAGAACGGGCGGCTGGATCACGGCACTTCCACACAGCCGCTCCGAGCGCCACAGAGCCACTCTTGTTACCAGCGTGTCCCACGTCGCTCAGGCTGGAGCTCTGGGGGTGCAGCCAGCCCTTCTACCATTTCTAATAGTACATGTCACTAATCAAAGCCTCAAGGCTTAATACATATCAGACCAAGACAACAGGAAAGCACCCTGGCCCCTTGTTTGCCCTTTAATACAAAGGCCAAGGGCAAAGGAAAAGCTGTGTCCTAATCTTACCTCCGCATGACTCGATTCAAAGTAATTCTGAAAGCCTTCAGATTGACCAGCACTTGTTCACGCCTTCAGTTACAAGATGAAGGACACTGAAAAGTAACAGAGTTCTATCCATTTTCCTTGGAAAGAAACCATATGGCTAGAAGTCAATTTGGGATTTTTTTTCCTTTTTTTTTTTTTTTYTCCTTTTTTTTTTTTTTTTTTTTAAAACAATGCAAGTTACTACACATCCTCAAAGACCTGAAGCAATGCCGACGGCTGCACTGCCACCTCCTTCCTATTTTACAATACTCCATCCATGCTCTCAAGAGTGACACAAGAACAAACACTTTATCCACAAATACCTGTACACGGCATGTCCAGAACAGCATTCAGCCAGCCTATAGRGAATCTACACAGGGAACTCTTCCATATGTAACTAGAGGGGGACACAAGATGAGGCCCAAATCTGACCATTCTTTGTTTGCAGAGTCATTGCTCACGTGGTCCCCGACGCTACCACATACCCCAAAAAACAACAACTCTGTAGCACAACTAAGTACTCGCAAGAAACTTTTTAGTAACAAGTCAGCATGTGCACACACTGGAGAGGAACTATTGCTGGGGGAACAACTCTACCATTTCAGGTTTTCAAGGCGATTATAAACAGTCTAAAAAAAATCCATATGTAAAATACTTCTTATAAAACCAAACAAAATTTCCACCAATGCTCATTAGACTTCATGAATAAAGTTAGTTCGAGGGCGGCCCGGGCTCGGGCGGCCGCTTCCAGCGAAGCTCAGCAAGACCCTGCGACGCTTCCTCTTGGACTAGCCGAGAGCAACACACCGAGGGGGATCTTAAAAGGAGACGGGGCAGAAGGGAGGCACAAACCACTAACCCCTTGTGCTCTACCTCTGGAAGCTACTTACAGTCCCGGGAGGAAGGGCTGTCCRTGCGGGCGACGCGCAGCGCGGCGGGGGGCACGTCACCTGGGGAGCAAAGAGGAGGCCAAAGCCCCGGGAGATGTCGGCCTCGGAGTGGCTCATCCTGCGCTTCCTCCTGCTGTAGGGCCAGGGCCTCGCGGCCGGGGCTGCTCCGGGAGGCCCATGGTGGCCTCGGGAGGCCCATGGAGGCCCAGGCGCCGCGGGCTCTCCCTCGTGCTCGCGCTGAGGTAACGCAGCGCCGCCCTCTGCTGTCGCCTCCCGCCGTCCTGTCCTCCGCCTCCGCACGCGGGGTCAATCCCAGCTCGGCGGCTCCATCGGGAGGGCAAGGACGGCCATCGCTGCTGCGGCGGGGCGCGCCCTGGCATGAGCTTCACTTGTATATACAAGACACACGAAAGATGGTACAAAGAGACAAAATTAACAGGAATCGGGTCAACATGACCCAACTCAAACAAGCTTATCATCATATTGCCACTTGTCGCAACACTTGCATGATAAAGAAAGGGGGAAGCCAAAACAAGGGACTGCAGTTTCACAAGGGCTGGGGACAGCGAGGCCTGCGGGCGCCCTCACGGGGGAGGCCCGGGGCCTCCGCCACGAGCAGCGGCCTCCTCTCGGCGGCCTCCTCTGGCCAGCTCTCGCCTCCTTACCCGCTCACGCCTGGCCCAAGTGTCCATACTGGCTGGAAAAACTGAGCGATTCTTCAAGAAAATACTGAATCTAGGAAACAGCTTAATACAATTTTGGTGAAAGTTGACAGGACTTCCCCGTACCCGCCCAAACATACAGACAATACTTGAAAGTCAACGCTTTCTGAGAGTTTAATTAGAAATGTATAGRAGATTCTGGATTAGTGTTTACTGGTTCCTGCCACATCTGGAACAGGCAGGGGGGAGGGAAGAGGGAGGAGGAAACAAACCTGATTTCACTTTTCTATCAGTTTTTCCAGATGTGTCCCRAGTTTAAAAGAAAAAAAATTCTCCCTTGTTTTGGTTTTCCCAAAGTACAGCCACTACTATAGGGGCCAATGTAGGAAAGATTCATCCTTGAGAACATAGAACAAAAACCAAGCACATAATTTGGCAAAGTTATTAAAACACTGACAAATGAAAATAAGACAGGTGAGTCCCTTCCAGAGCACAAAATGCTTTGAAGATTGCTGTTCAGCGTTCAGACACTAAAAAWCATCCACAAGAGGCATTTTAACAAACGAGTCAAATCTTATTAAGCGCCCTTCCCCTGCCATAGCCATTAAAAACATAACAGGAAAAAAAAAAAAAAAACACACCCTTAAAATCAGAAGACCCAACTAGGCCCTTCTTATACATACAGTACATACATATATATAATATATATATAAAATATACAGCTTACAGTATTGTAGTCCTATTACAGTTAAAGCAGACTGAAAGGAGTGAGACTTTGTTTAGGAGCCTGGATCAGCAAMCAAGACGTCTCAACCTCCCCAAACGGGAGACAGCAGATTGCAGAGACCTCGTCCCAGGGCACGCAGCGTCTCTCCAGGAAGCTGAAACGTGGAGCAAGGTCCTGCTCCGGGCACGCAGAGCAGGGCCTCGCGCCAACCCGGGTCCTATTACAGTAGTGCTCTGTACTGGGGCGGCAGGACCTCGCAGGCCAGTGAAAGGGGAGCCGCGCGCTGCCGCGCCAGGCCACCGGGACCCCGGGAAGCCTCCTCTGGCATCAGTCACTCGGCTGGCTTTGTAAAAGCCAATCTCGCTTACACAGCATGGGCAGTTCTTCACAGAGCTGGGGGAACCGAACTCRCTGGAGCTCTCTGCGGGCCAGTCCGGAGACACGGTGAAGAAAACATCATCCCCTTTTCTTCAGACCTCAGAGATGYCCAGAAAAAAGCATGTGTTCTTGCAACAGTCTCTTGAAGTAAAACCAAAGAAAAAGTCCCGCTGTGCAGCTGGGAGCAGCATGTCCTTTGCTCTACTCGGGACCTGCGCCCAAGCATATTTATGAAGCTAGAGAGGACAGACTCAGCGATATGGGTGCTTGTTTGAAGCCTACAAGAAAGTGCAGCTGGCTGTGCATTCATAGAGCATGGCTGTTCTCTAAGGCAGTGCTTCGGGTGAATCAAGAGAGTAAGAAGGCCTAGTTCCATGGGGTTTTTTTTCCTGGTACCAATAAACGGGATTTCTGGTTTTCAAAAGCAGCCTGCTTCCAAGGCCAAGCGTCATGTTGCTACTGCTTCCAGGTAGCTCTGCAGCTTGCGGACAGTCGTCTCATCCAAGGAGAAGAGGTCAAAGTCAAAGGTTGTGTTGGTAACATTAAAATGCCCGGTTTCCTCAATGAGATTTACAATCTGTAGAGAAAGGAGAGGAGCAAGAATGTACTCCGAGAGCCTATGAAGATGAAGTCCACCATATAGGCTAGCAGATATTGAATAACCCATTCAGTCCTTTCCTCAGCCTTTTAAAATGGCCACAGGGGGGTCCCTTTTCATGACWAGAGGGAGTCTTCTCCCCTTCCCAAAAAACAGCTTCTCCCACAGGCCAGAAGGACATTTTTCCCCCTTGTAAGTTATATCAAGTGAATCCCAGCTTCAGATAAGCTAACAGGATGATGGAGAAAGGAGTCCAAACCACCCCTGTGTATCTTTCCCAACAAACGCATTGCATTCCCATCTGAATTATTATCTACACCTCTTTGCTTCCAAATGAACCATATTCACTTTGGAATTCGTGAAGGACCAAGTGAATCATAATCACCGTATTTGTGAAGGGGAAGCAAATGATATTTCGAGCATTACAGGAGCCTGAGCAAGACCCTTGGACATGAGGGTAATCAGAGTACAACAGCTTGCCAGAAAACTGCCAAATAACGTCTACCTGCTGTAGCACATTGCGTTCTCGTAGTGCCATTAGCCGCCTGTGAAGCTCTACTAATTCATCCGTGTAGGCCTGTAAAGAAAGCACGAACAGAAATACAGTGACAAATCTGGTTTGCACGTCTGGCCACCAAAGGCACTTTCCAACTGAGGTCCAGAGGAACCTGCAGCCCTTTCGGGCAAGTTTATGTTCCCAAATTTTCCCTCCATTTTCTGCTGCCTCCTCCACGAAGAGCAACAGCTAGACTTTAGAGACACTATTAAATAAACATCTGTGGTTGGCTTCTAGGGATTTTCTAGGAATTTCTAGGTTGTACTAAACTCTTGATAACAGCTCTTGTTACTTGACAGCTCCTCRTTACCCAAAAATACCTGCACTGTGGTTGGTGACCAACATCTCAGCAATCTGCTCAGCACCATTTTGTGCTTAGGTTAGAAAAAACTCTTTGAGCACTCTGTTCCCAGATAGTTTTACATATACCAATCACACTGGGAAGTGCAGACATCACAGCTCTGGTTGTATCACACCCCTGAGCAATACAAGATTTTGTAGCTAGCAGAAGACTCGGAGGTAMGGATCACGCTTGGACCTAGCATTAAGTGATTGACCTGTGCTCTGTTCTCCTACTGAGAAAGTGTTTGAGCTAAACACAAATACCTTGATTTTGGCCTAAGGACCTCGATGGGCAGCCAAAAGAAAAGTATTTAACTTCCATTCAACTGTTTTCTTTACAAAAAAAAATCCACAGTGGAAGAACTTTCAGGGCAATTTGGGGTTTGGCTACTTGCTTGCAAGCCATGCTTTAGAAGCATACACACTACTCGACCTTCCTTGGGAGGCAAGGACGAAGGCCAAGCCACTGAATAAACAAAGGCTTCAACAGTGACCRAGAACGTAAAGCCATCTTTAACTTGTATGATCAAGCACAGCTGAAAACTGCCCCTTGATGAAGAGGCACGCACGGCTGCAGCAGCTGGTGAGGCTAAGAGCAAACAAACAGGGCAATTTTGACATTTTGCACACGGAAAAGACACGGGGCTCCGTTTATTTAAGCTATACAATTTCTGTAATGTTCATCTCCCAAGCCTATTCTTTCACCATCTGTTTTTCATTGTATTCAAGTCTTTAACCTACCAAAGCAGAGCCATCCAAACAGCCTAGACTGACTCGAACTATTTTCAATCAGAAACATTAACTAGTAACCAACCACTCTACGACATGCAAACCTTCAAACTTACCTTGTCGTAAGTTCCCTTCTTCAGGATCTTCTCTGGCTTGTTACAAGACTCCGGGCTTTTCCTTCCAGATGCCTGAGGGTAAAACAAACAGCCTTCAGGGACCAGAATCAGTTCAGACAACACCGCGGTTTAGCGGTTTGGACGCACAGCCCCGAGCAGAAGGAAATCACCCATCTGATGAAGACAGGGAAAAAGCAAAGCTTTGGTGCAAGTCAAAATGAACACTACGGACTGAGCACAAGACAGGGCCCGGAACGGCACYGTGTGGGCAGGACACCAACCTTGTTATTTGCTGGGGGCAGCTTCTGACCAGGAGGAGGCTCTCGACTTGGCAGGCAGGAATCGGCACTGTTATCACTGTCACTGTCACTAAGGCTCAGTCTGAAAAACAAGCAGCACAGAATTAGCCAAAGGGAAATTATTTTGCTGGCAGCTGAAGCACAGAGTTAAATGAAACAGAAACAAAGGCTATTAGCTCTATTGTTTATTTTAGACTACATTAAATTGTCCAGGAGAAACTGTCTGCAATTCYAGAGAACCCCTCTGTCACAGCTGACTTCAGCTTCCCCATCTTTTGTTCCCTGGGGAGTTAGATGAGGTAGTTTTAGTTATTTTACACATTGCAACTAGCAGGTCAACTTGAGCCCATTTCACACTCAAACCTCATTAGAGCAGCTAAACAAGTGCCAGCTGATTTTGGCAAATGGCAGTTATTCATTTTTGTTACTTATTTTAAAATCGCTGCAAGTTGCTGCAGGAGAGCTGCAGGATCTCCACTGAGAGCACAGGCAAAAAGAAATTTCTGCCATGTCTTGATCTTTGAGATTTCCTTTTTACATCTTTCTCATCTTGGGGCCCTGCAGATCTCTAGCAGGTATCCTGCTTCCGATGCTCTTGAAAACCAATGCATTTATTACCCATCCTCAAAAGGTATAAAAACAATATTTCGAAGTCTCTCATTTCCTGTGGAGCTGAGAACAACATAGTGCAACACAAGGCATTTTTTTTTGGTGAATGCAAGTGCCACTTGAAATCTGCAGCTGCTCTTTGGGCCAAGCATTTGGTTTCAAGCATCCAGCCTGGGACTCTAGCTTTTGGCTACGGCAGCACTTCCTGAAGGGAGAGGGATGAAATTCAACTATTTCCACGGAGCGAGGCAGGAAACAGCTGTTAACCACGCTGCAGAGGGGCCGAGCGGCAGTAGCAAAGAGCAGGAGCCCTCAGGCCTGTCCCGGCACTGGGCAGCGCCAGCGGCGCACGTGCCACAGCCTCAGCGCCGCTTCTCATCTCCACACACCAAAGGTCTCAGCAGAGATCTGCAAGAGACCATTAGGTGACTACGTGAAGGGGCTCAGTCACGAGCACCTGCAAGCTGCTCACGTGCCAACTGCCCGTGGCTCCTCTCTTTGAGCTTCCGTGACCTTCTCCTCATCCTGTTCTGTCCTCACCCTGCTGCTGTCAGCGACGCYCTGCGGCGCTCCGCTGTGCTACGTGCCCCGTACACCCGTCCCTTCTCCTACACTTTCCTCCCTGCCCTCATCCCTTCCATTCCACCCTCTACAAGGCGCATGGAAACACAAGATAGGGAGGGCAAAGACACATCCCTTCATAGAATCATAGAATGCTTAAGGTTGGTAGGGACCTCAGAGGTCATCTAGTTCAACCCCCCTGCTCACACAGGGTCACCCAGAGCACGGGTGCATCCAAGCGGGTTTTAAAGATCTCCAGAGAAGGAGACTCCACAACCTCCCTGGGCAGCCTGTTCCAGGGCTCCGGCACCCTCACTGTCAAGAAATGTTTCCTTAAGTTCCTGGGGAACTTTTGGTGCCTCAGCTTATGGCCGTTTCCTCTAGTCCCATCAGTGGCCACCACTGAAAAGAGGCCGGCCCTCCTCCTCACTGCCTCCCTTGAGGTGTCTACAGACACTTCTCAGGTCCCCCCTCAGCCTCCTCTTCTCCAGGCTGACCAGGCCCAGCTCTCCYAGCCTTTCCTCATAGGGCAGATGAGGATCTTTCTTCCCGCTTTGTTACCACCTGGAATCCCGGCTCACGGGGTTGGCTTTCACCGCGGCCTCTTCTCCGGAAGAGCTGTCGTCATCGTCGGACTCCTCCGACTGCAGGTCCTCCACCATGGAGCGCAGCGGGCCTGGCAAGGCAAAGCYTGAGTTCAGCCCTCACCTAGGCCACGTGCGGCCAGCTCTGCACCGCGCCACTCCCGCCTAGGCCTGCATTAACTTCTCATTAAGATAAAGTAAGATTTCTCAGGAAAAATGTCACAAAATGAAACGGAATCTTCATTTTGCTCAAAGGCGCTGGTAGAAGATGCTGAGTTCTAGTCTCAATATTAAAGTTGAAATTTTAAGAAGTGCAAAACCCTCCCCAAATCTACGCACTCTTTTCCGTAACGAAACCAAATGGATGATTTTGGGGGGACCATTTTAGAAGTGACTCAAGGGGCAGCATTTGTAGCAAGAGAACATTTGTTATGGTTAGAATATTCACTGTTGCCACTATTGGTTTATCTCTTTGCATTCCGTTTGAATCGGAACAAGCAGCAATGCCAGGCCCTGCCCAAATGACAGTGATGAAGTCTATATCATCCCCATTTTGTATTCAAATTTATCTTAGATTGGAAGAGAAATATTCTGGGGGCACCACATATATGATGTTAAGAAAACAGACCTAATTCCCATAAGCCTTCAAGGACATGTAAAGACAACTTCAGTAAGTGTTAATTCTTGCAACACACCTTGACTGTGGTTCTGRGATGGCTCAAAATCAGAGTCGGAGCTGGAGTCGGAGCTGGAGCTGGAGTTGGAAGGGCTGGACTGGACAGACTTAACCCCCCATGGAAGGGGAGAAAAAAAAAAAAGAAAAAAGAAAAGAATCTTAGCTTTTCTAACCCAGAACTGCAGAGCACAGTGAGATACAATGTGAGACTTCAATTACAAAAACATCCATACAATAAACATTAGTGCRAACGTTGGCGTCCTGCGGCCCGGCACTCCCGGGCAGCGGCACCAGCAGCTCCCAASAGGGCCCTCCAGGCCACCAGCTTCAAATCAGCCCCACAGCTGCAAAATGGGCAAAGTGGAAAAAAAGGAAAGAAAAACAAACAAAAAAAGGAGCCAGCTTATTTTGCAGTGCAAAAGCAGCCCAAACGACGCACAACCTCCATAAACTGCCCAAATCCCCTTCACAACCACTCGTTTTTTCTTCTCAGATCTGCACCACAATTCCTTCAGAGCACCTCACTCAGGAGACACTAAACAGGGATAAGAAGCTTTGAAGTAGTCACTTTCTTCCAAAATCTTAAAAGATATTCTCAATTATTACTACACTCCCTCCTCAAAACAGTCATTTCTCCACCAACTTATTAATGATTCCCTGAATTGTTCCCAAATGGATTGTGAAAAACCTAAGAGGGACCAGAAAGCTCTTGTGAAACCAACTCCCCGGCCACTGTCCAGAAGCAGYGGATAGAAGAGAGGTGCCGTGAGCTAGAGCTGCTAACAGCACCCAGGGACAAAGCTCCAACACCCTGTATGTTTTAAACGGGACCACTGCCATGCTGTGGCCTGAAGCACCACAGGGTGGCAGTGAGAGCCAACGTGCCCATTTCATCCTCACGGTAGGAGATTCCTAAAGGGGACTTTGTTCCGCTCTGGGACCCTCCAGATTAAAGACCCTCGCTGGGCTGTATTACAGCTTCATTTACAGCATTCCCTTTAGTGCTTCAATTCTGTTGCACTGTTCCTAGCACATCTGTGACTTTTGCAAACGAAAACAGGTTGACAGGTTTCTGTTGATCAATATACTTGATCACTGATTATGTTATTTTTCTATGTTATAGAAAACACTAATGCTAAGAGAATGGTGTCAACAGGTAGGAAAGCGGCATGAGCAGGTGCAAGCAGCGTCTCATTCATTCATCTCAAGCATCTCATTTTCAGCAATTTTCCATTGCTGAAAGTCTCCCAGGTCCCGCTGCTCTGCGATTTAAGGGAGCCCGGCACCTCCTTGGTTCCTGGTCCCCTTAACCCCTAAGGGAGCCCGGCACCTCCTTGGTTCCTGGTCCCCTTAACCCCGCGGTGCCCGGGAGGCTGCGGGGCGGCCGGTGGCCCCGCTCCGGCGGCAGCTTCCCGGCCGCGCGACGTGATGGCCACGGAGCGGCTCTGCCCTCCCGTCGGCCTCTCCCTTTGTCAGCAGCCRCGCTCAGGCAGCCAAGCATGAGGCCAGCGCGGGGAACGGAGCCTGCTCAGAAAGAAACAGCATTTAAGGAAAGAGAACAAAAAAAAGCGAGGGGACTTTTTCTGCAGGTGCTAGAAGAGGAGGAGAAACTCTGCAGCCCATGGCAAGGAGTCCTGGTGCCAGCAGCACAAACGAGAGCCAGGCTCTTTTCAACAGCAGCCTGCAAAGGTGTCAACTCAAAACAAGGGCCACGCTGCACCTACGGGACACGCGGCACAACCCGCCGCAGCTCTGGAACTGCAGCTCCGGGGCACGCGGCACAACCCGCCGCAGCTCCGGCGGCGACGCTCATTTAAGGGTTTCTGGGGCCCCGTCCACCTCCGGCTGCTCCTTCGCTCTCGTGATGGGGCTGCCGCCCCGCTCGCTCACAGCTACAGCGGCACAAAGGGGGGCAGAGCAACCTGCAGGCTCGGCAGCAAAAAAGAAACCCCCCAGGGGGCAAAAGCCACTCAGAGGCCCCTGGGGCGCTGCCAACACATCATGCGGTTGCACCCTGAATCTTCAAGTGCCAGAGAAACCTAAGCTGACCTGGCTGGCAGCTGCCCCTGTTTCTTGCCTCTGCCCTGCTGCTCCTGGGTCAGCGCTCAAGCGGCTCCGGAAGGCACGGCCAAAGAGGAGGGCTGGCGCAGGAGGGCAGGGTGCCTCCGTGGGACAGAGGGGACCACGGCCCCATCTGCGGTTTCAGGGGACACCGGAGCAGCAGGATCAGGTTGCGGTCAAGACGCGGCGAGACGGCACCTGAGACAGCACGAGCTGCAGCGTGGTGAGCAGGGCCAAGCAGAGCACAGGGGGCTGCAGCGAGGGCCGCGTCCTCCCAGCGCGGAGGCAGGCAGCAGGTGGAGGCTGCCCTCCCACAAAAGCCACCTCTCCATGAACCTGCACAAAGCTGTGCAGAAAACCTGCCTTCAGCACCTCCTCGAGTTCTCTCGTTGGGAACCTTTCGGGGGAAAAAAGAGAACAAGTATTCTTGGAATAAACCCACCAATACTTACTGCATTATGAAGCTAATTAAATCATACTATAGATTTTACCTTGCAGATTTATGCTAGTAAAAGAAATCTTTCTAGAGGGGGTCAGTAGGAAGTCGTGTGGCTCCTATAAAAGCAGGCAAGCCTTTTCTACAGTAAACATAAAACGTCAGAGAAAAGTAGCAAGAGTTGGGATTTCGGCTGCTTTCCCACCCCTCCCTCAACTTTTCTTTTATTTATTTGTTTGTTTTGCCTTCTTTGGAAAAAATATTTTTAGAAGATGGAGGGTAAAAATTTTCCTTTGTTGTAAAAAGGGGGAAAAAAAGATATTTAAGCAACTTTTWAAAAGAGTACTAGAAGTAGAGAATTTGGTTTATGTTTTACAACCAACTTATTTAGGTTTAATGGCGTGTGGTTGTATTTGAGCTTTACCCAACAGCACCTTTTCTCAGAGGCTGCATTGGGAACAAGGGCTTTTGTTGCTGTTTACATGTTATTCGTTTTCCAAAAGCCAGCCTGAAACTATTTACTCCAATTCCAAAGTAAAAATCAAGCTCAACAGCATGTTATCGTAAGCAGGCAGAAAACRGGTCTATACCTGTGCTTCAAAAACATCCCTGCAAGAAATGAATGAGACACCTTAACCTTAACTCTGACATTTAGATAACAGCTTGCAGACACATCTGAGTAGAAACGAACATGGGAAACAGGAGGTAAATGATAACACTGATAGGATTTTCAGAGCCTTTTGAGATACAGGCAGGCCCAAGCATCGGCCAGACTGTTTTTCTGGCTTGTCTGAGTATTTCGAGACATTTTTCATGCAGCAATTTAACCAGCTTGCTCTAAAACGCTACCCCATGCTCACCTCTGACTTGAACGAAGTTTCATCCTCTGAATTAGACTCCTCCATTTCCATGGGCTTTTTGATCTCCTTGGCCTCACTTTCAGATTTCACCTTTTCCACTTTGGCATTCATCTTCTCCTTGGTTTGTTTCTTCTCTGGGTACGAGGAAGACGAGGTTCTGGGAGATGTCCCTAGGATGTTCTTCACCCCTTTGGAGCTGCTCTTTTTTTGTTTTTTGGCACTAGGCTTTGGTGACTCCACGTTGGAGGGCCTCTTGCTGGAAGACTTTAACTCCGGCTGTGGCCCACCCTTTGGAGAGGTGTTCTCTAGTTTGGTCTCCTTCATGGCCAGTTTTGGTTCCTTGAAAGCTGCTTTGGGAGGCGCCTTCTCCTCCTTAGGCAGTTTGTTCTCGGTTGGTTTCCTGGAGGAGTCTTTCAAAGGCTTGCTCTGTTCTCTTTCAAGGTCTTTGGAGGAGTTTTTGCTCTCAGAATCTTTCCTTGGTCGCTCTCTGTGTTCCTTGGTTACTTTGTGTGGCTTGGATGCCCTACTGCTTTCCTTGCTTGCATCCTAAAATTCAGCAACAGAAACACACAAGCTAGGTAAAAAAGTGAAATTCTGCACAGAACTATAAAGCACATGCTGRTAAATCACAAAAGCACTTGCTTCAAACAGACATCCACCCACACACGTCTCTAACGTATCTACTTCTGGTGCAGACATCGAGATTTCTGTCCATCAACTGCAAGGCTGTCAACACCCAGCACTTAAACATCTGCCTGAGGACAGGATGGAAGAGGCATCTGGAGCGCCTGCTCCTTGTGCGGGCGCTACAGACAGGCTAGAGGCTGAGCTCAGATGTCACCTGCAGGGTGAGCGTCTGCAGCCAGGGACAGGTGGCCGCAGGCAGCCTGSGTTGCACAGAGCCTCACTACAGTTTTCCTCAGCACACACAAGCTTTAGGGGGAAAAAGCAGGCAACTGAAGAGATCTATTCGATTAAATCACGGTCACAGCAGAGGCAAGCTGTGTTGGCAGCCCAGCCCTGAACTCACCACGTCAACCAAACTGCACCTTGGAAAAATCCCCCCACAACCACAAAAAAGCCAGCGTCTCCAGCAACGACAGGCATTTGTCAAGCTGAATGAGAGCAGTGACACAGCAATGCCTTGGACCCGGCCTATCCCAGGAGGCAGGTACACGCAGTGCCAAAGGACTTTGGCCCTTTGCAATTTATCTATCACCTCAAAACACTTAAGAGAAATAAATCTTGCAGGGAAACACTGTAATACGAACTGGACAAGCTGAGATTCAAACACGTGTGCACCCTGGATGGCAATGTGGAAGAAGGCAGCAATCTGCTGCTTTAGCCACTGGCAATTTTCCCAAGAGCTCACACAGCCTTCATTTTTCTTTCTTCTTCTCCATTTTCTAATGCTTAAACTCAAAAATCAAATCAGCCACTAACAGATAAGCCATCTTCACGCTGTTCTACAGTATCAAGATCAGAAGATTTGGCCAAAACCAAGTAATAAAAGTTCAGAGCCTCAGAGAAAACGGGAAGCGGAACTGAATTACACTACAAAACGAATTGCTGTTAATGTTTGTGACTGCTCAGGCTGCTAAAGTGCAGGCAATCTGCTTCAAATCACACAGCGAATATCAAGAGAACAGGATCTCCTATGTGCAATTACACAAAGGTAGTTTCCTGAGACAAGCGAAAGGAAAAAAAACTTGAGTTTCTTCTGAAGTGTCAGGAACTAGAGGTAGCTAGATAATACATCTAGAGGCTAAGAGCAAATCTTGCAATCACAAGTTGCACCAAGTAGAGCACRTTTTATGCTCTCTATGTCACTCTCCCAGTAGCTCTACTGATAGATGAAACGTCGACTCCATGCTCAGCCTTGCYGCTATGAAAGTGAAGTCCCTCGGGACTTCAAACACGGTTTTRCAGGAGAGCAAAAGACGCACATATTTCATGTTCAGCATCGCGGACACAAGTCAGGATGATCAGCAAGGACTTAATGGAACTTTCTGTGCCCTACCAGTTCAGCAGCAAGATTTGATTCACCAGAGAGTCCTCATCTTGGACATGTATTTCTCTTCTAAAATTTTCCCCCCCCAAGAGAAGTCTAGCAATAAAGAGCCCTCCTAAATTCAGAGGGCAAGAGAAGAAGCACCCTGGCCAGATGCTCTTATTTCAAGCTTCCGCGAGATGACAAGCCCTGCTGCTGATGACCACACATCCCCTGCTCATCGCTAAGAAAAATCCATGCTCTAACTGGGAAGAAGCTGCAGGAAAGACAGGACAATACGGATTGCCCAAAGATTCAGCCACGGAGCACAAGGGAAGTTTTCCAAGCAAGAAGTAGCTACAAGCAGCTGCTAAACAGGCTGAGGAGCAGAGCCCTGCAAGATGGCACCTTGGGGTGACCGAAAAGCAAGCTTCACTGACCTTTGACCCGTGGGATGGTTTGGTTTTCTTGGGATCAGAGAAGGCGGAGAGTGGTATTGTGGGCAACATGGGATAATCAGGACTTGGCCTTGAAACAGTTTCTGCTCCTTCTGGCATTACCATCACCTAGTAATAAAGGAGAAAAAAATATGTAGGAGTAAAGAAACATAGACTATTAACACACTTTTAGCTTAAGTCACTCGCTCAAGAAACACACTATTATTCATCTTTTAGACCTTTTCTTCCCTTAAAGGCCATAAAAGATATTGTCTCTATAATTCCAGTTAAGATGCTTAGTCCCAAGGCAATGCTTAAAATACAGAACATTAAAAACATAAAGAATAAAAGGCAAGATGTAATATCGAGTGTCATTCCCAAAGGGAACTCTGATACGCCGAGCAYGAGCAGAAAACAGAGCTATGGACAAGAACTATGTGTTCTACTGCCAACGCTTTTATTCTTCTAACAGGTTGGAAGCAAAGTAAATTCAGAAGGAACGTGCAAGATTCCATCGATGCGGGAAAATCTGGATTCTTTCCCAAAAAATCCATGGGACTGCCTCTTGAAAGATCTCAACACAAAGCATGGACCCCTACGACATGGCTGCTCTTCTTACCTTCCCTACATTTAAAGTAATCCTGTCAGAAAGTTGGGTGGAAAATCCTATTCCCTAGCTTCTGTCGATGAAGTCMGCAGTCAAGAAGATATCAGATGAACAGCATCAAGAGAGATTCATGGATGAAACATTTTGCTATTTAAAGAACTCCACCATGCGTGACCAAAATCCTAATAAGTAAATTCTGTTCTAGSCATCTTATGGCCAAAATAAGCACCTTCCTCCTGGTTCCTAAAGCAGAAAAGCCCTGGGCTACTAACAAAGATCTGCAGAAATCAGCTTAGAATACTTGCCACTCTTACAACTTATGCTTGACAAACTTCCTCACAATTTTCACCTCCTCCCTCTTCTTTTTAAATATTGCTCAGGCTGCAAGGATGTCTTGCAGAAGAAAACTGTGCCAGGAATCAAGCTGATGCTGAATGAAGTCCTTGAACAGAATGGAATCATATATTATCCCATATGGGAGTGCCCAGAACACCCTAGTGACCTCCTCCGACTAGTTAATAGTTCCTTGCACATTGTGACTGGTACTGAATTGCCTGGTTCTGGTAGAGTTACTTGAAGATAAATTCTTTAGGCTACTGCTGCATCTTAATTTCCCTCTAGTAGTAATTTGTCCACTGGAGCAGCCTGTTAAGTCTATATCTGTTTGGTTTTGTTTTCCCCCCTCATATTTTTACTCCAAAGTCTTAATTTTTATCATCTAAGTAAGCAACAGTTGATTCCAGGTATGGAGAAGATAAGTTGACCATGAAGTGTCAATATGAATGTTTCCYGCAGCAAAGACAGATCGGGAACCTGCTGCAAACGCCTCCAGATTTCTCCAGCYCTTTCACACGGATACAGGGCAGAGCCTGGGCAGGGCACCGAGGGCCCTGCGTGCGGGCCGAGCAGCGGGCGCCTCTCGCAAGCTCTTCGTTGCTGCAGAGACTTTCCTGCCTCGGCATTACCAGCCACATTTACATTTCTTCAGCTCTTCGACCTCCCCAGCACTTACCCCGCCAGCCTTAATAAGTTTGCGTCTGAACTCCTTGGTGGGGTTGTTGAAGGTCAGCTTCTCACACCGGAGGTGGTTCACGGGCGGGTTTCCCTCCAAATTTAAGAAGAGGTCGTATGTGAAACAAACCTTTTTCGGTTCCTCCTAAAACCAAGAAAGCAGAAAACTTTGGGAAACCACAGTTTGGCAAACACACTAGGTTAGAGGTTTCAAATGGTCACTCCTAAAAATCACTGAAAAAAAAAAACCACCACTGAGTAAGTGTTGCATTCATGTTTTTTCCTCATGAGATCAGAGAGCTTTTCAAAGCCAGGAAAAAAAAGAAGAGCTGAACATGTCCAAGTCAACATAACTTTCACCAGAAAGTCACACATGGCTTTTCCCTGGAAAAAAAATCCACCAAACAACCAGAGACACAGACACTAACTGGTAACTGTCTGTCCAAAGCAGTCTAAGCAACCCCAGCAAAGCAAGTACAAGGGCTTTAATCTAACATTCTGTTTTCACTGAAATTCAGATGCTATCTTCTTTGCAAAACAACAGCCCTATAAATATCAATATTAAGGCATGCATAATCCTTTATTGAGAGGAAGGGCACCTTCTCAACTTGTGAGATCTCTGGGGATGCTGAGAAAAGATCAAAGGCAATGATAAAAGAATGACTTGGGCTGGAAAAATCCTTGTCCGTGTGCACAGTGCAGCGGGGGAATGGGAAGATCCCGCCAGCTGGGGAGCTTTCCAAGAGCACTCAAGGCAGCCACGCGGCTCCGGGCGCTCAGGGGCCATCCGCTGCTGCTGCTGCTCCTCCCGCTGCAGCGGTGCAGGAAACACTGGTGCGTTTTGCTGCACAAAGGAGGCTGCTGCTGGAGCCCCTTTGCATTCCAAGACGCTGCAGGCTACCTGCTCTTTACAAATACCGACACACCACTTCCGAGTACGACGGTGTTCCCTCTGTTTCAAGAGGAAAACTCAAATGTGGCAAAGAGAAAAAAACCCTCCTGTAAAACCCGCAGCGCCTCGCAGCCCATTCAGCATCGACACGATGCATCCCCCAGGCCCCGTGCAGCCAAGGCAGCTGTGCAGCAGCCCCTTCCCCGATTCCCACCCGGCAGCTCCTTTCCCGGTGCAGTCCCTATGGGAAGGGCTGCCGTGGGCTCCTTGGGAGCGCGGAGCTTCTTCAGCCCCTGCTGAGTGCTGCTGCCCGCCCGGGGACATTGGTGTCCCCACTGCCCATTGCCAGCTGCTGTCCTGCCCACAGCGAGACGTGTATCCACGAGCCCGGCCGGTCACATCCACAGCACTACCCGGCAGGCAGCTCCCTGCATCCCAACTCCCCGGCACACTGGGACACAGGCACCCAAGCAACTGCAGGCCACAAGAAGGTCTCATCTCAGAGAACAAGAACACCCTAATGAACTCCAAAATCTCGAGTCCCCCCCAAAAAAAAAATTGGGGTCTCCAAAATCTCCCTCAGAAACAGYCTGGAGAATACAAGCCCACTTGAACTTGTTTGAGCTCCATCGAAACACACGAATGGGAAGAGGAAAGAAATATCTACCTGCAAATGTCCTGCCCTACCATACTCTGCTTTGCTGCAAGGACCATTTCCACTAAGCTCGACATTTGTTAGTGCACTCTTACACTGGAGTTAGAGCAGCTGCACAGGTTCGCTCGTAGCCTAACAAATGTAAGTGAAGGGTGAACAGAAATCCAAACAGGGCCTGAAAAGAATTGCTTCCAAAATGTTTTTCCCTGTTTACAACATGGAATTGGTTATCCTGGGTATATTAGCAAAAAACAGGCTTTAGATTTTGAGCCCATGTTATCAGAGCTCTGCTCAGGGATCTGCCTTTCCGAGTGGGAGATGGGAACTGTAGCTGAGGATTCATTTCCCTTTCATCTTACATACCCCGCTATTGACATGATTTAAAATTACCACAGAACCTCTCAAATATTCCTGTCTCCATGATAACCTGCCACTGTTTGCAAAATTAACAGATTTTCTCAGACTCTAAGATCATGACCATTCTGGGAATCAAGTCTCATTTAAGTATTAGGATCTTAAAATATCCTTTCCATCCTCTCAGGACATCAGGAGATGCCCTCCAAGTGAATGGATCCATCAAAAATTATGGCACTGCTTTGGATTTCTAAGTTTCTAACTCCACGGGAAGATTTTCAAACAAAATATTTCCTACAAGAAAACTGCAAAAGTCTCAAAGCAAAAAGCTGCTTTGTTGGCTTACACCCCTCACCTACTGCTTCCACAGCTAGTAATCACAGCTCAAAGGACTCCAAAAATGAATCCATCCAGAATTCCTCAATGTTCTCTTCTTGACAGCAACCACCGCACTTGCGCGGAAAAGCCCCGGAACGCTCCTCCCCACTGACCTGAACCCGCAGAGCATGGAATAGAGCCACCCTGACCCCGCACGGCCGCACCTGGAGACCTTTCCAAAGAAGATGTTGGGATCTACCTGTCCTCCGGCTTGGAGCTGTGAGGGAGGACAAATGGGATTTTTCCTTGCAAGATCTTTGGTCCAGGCGGTTGACGAATCCACTGAAAAGCTGTCACTTCTGTCCCTTTCCAACACCCCTGGGTTACCTCCTTGAGTAGCAACTACATAGGCAGGCCAAGCTTTACCCTTAGAGAGAGCCATTTTCTGACCTTCTACCCTCRACACATAACTGAAGACGGGAGAGACTTTTTGTGAATATTCAATTGTTCTCCAACCATAACCCTTTCTGAAGGGTCGGATATGGGATCTGCAAGGAAGTCATCTCAGAAACTCACTTTCTAGCCGCCCCTTAAGCCTGAGATGCCAGTGGAGAAGCCAASCAAGAGAGCACGCTGCTCGGGCAGGACCAAGCACCAGGCATTTGCTGTCCTTAGCATTTTCCCTCCATCCAAAGAATCACTCCACTTCACTACTGCTCTCCAAACCTGAACACGCTGCACTTTAACCTTGCGATTTTCCAGCCTCCTGGCTGCACTGGTATGAATTCCAGAGTTGCTTTATTTTACTTTTGAGTACTGAAGGAATAGGTTAAAGTTCCCTTGGCACTTTCTGTAAGAGAGGAGTTTTTTCAAAGTCTTTTGTTGAGATTTCCTGGTCCCGTTTGTAAGGCAGGGCGTGTGCCCTTCGCCAGCCGCACGAATCAAAGGAATTTCCCTGGTAGCGTGTGCACAGAGCTCATAAATCACTTTCAGAAAGCCATAAAACAAAATTATCTACAAAAAATCTAGCACACCAAGGAAGCAGCCTCATGGTTATTCAATAACCATAACTTCTAACACAACTTCCTTTTTGCCATAGATCCAGGCAGACAGAGTCATTTAGCTGGAACCTATAAATGAAATCCCTTTTCCAGGCCTGCACAACCTGTCTGACTAGTCCTCCACCAGCTCGGAGCCAACACATTTGAAAGCAAATAGGCCAATTTTGGAGATTTTACAGAGTTAATTAAACTGACGGCAGGTTTGGGAACTCTTCTCTGTTCTAAGGCAATCACTTCAAAGAAGCGGCGAGTGTATTTTCCCTAATTTTCAAAGAGGGGAATTTATTCACCTCCGAGCAGGTACAAATCCAAGGCAATGCTCCGCTTCCCAAGGCCTTCGCGGCAGGCAGTGCAGCGCCGTGGGGCTCCCGGGACGCTCAGCACGAGGAGGCTCTGGGCTGAGCACCCGGCCTGCTCCTGCGGCGCCGCTACCCCAAAGGATCCCCAGCACACGGGAGCCACGGGATCCCCAGCACACGGGAGCCAGGATTGCTGCACCGCTCCCGTGCAGTGGGCACGGCACGGACACCCTTTGGAAAGGAGCCCCACGGAGCCCAGACTGGAAACCATGAGCCGAAGGGCACTGGGCATCGCTCAACACCGACGAACGCGGCTCCTCCCTGCAGCAACACCGAGGAAATAAGAGACACCTGAAACACACTGAAATCTGCCCAACAAAATATAACCCAACCTCGGCAAATCTTGCCCCAATTTGGTGAATATGGTAAATGAGGCAAAAATAAGCTCTTCAGTGGCATTGCTTAAGAGACTTTTATGAACTATCTTACTGAAGATCCCAATGCCTTGTTTTAAGGGTCCTTTAGTTCCACTTACCCTGCTATACATGCACCTACGCACTGCTTTGAAAGACACATTATTCCCTTCCTCCAGTATTTACTTTTATATATATATATATATACGTATGTGTATGTACACACACACACACACTATCTAGACAAAGGAAAAATATAAGTGTACTTTGAATCTAACTGAAAACAAAACAAATGAAACCAACTTTTATTCTCTTTTCACTATGGGAAAAGATCCTAGATTCAGTATTCCACAGCGTAAATCCTGTAAATCCTCTTTCTCTCTTAACTCTCAAATTTGGAGGTAATATCTTTTAAAACAGCCCTTAACACAACTGCTKATTTATAATGCAGGAAGATTTTCTGCCTTACTTTGCAATAACATGAAGGGCTTTTGCGGGGGGAGTGGGCTCTAATTAGGATACAAAAATACAACTTAAAAMCCCACAGATGTACCTGCGTTACAGCCTCCTGGTTAAAATTTGTCACTGCTTTAAGAGAGGTATTTTGAGACAACAATGAGAGCAGGAAAAAATAAATAAATAAGCAGAGTCTCAAGACTGCTGAAATCAGGTAGGGGAGAGTGACAGGGAAGAGTTGCAGGGAAACAGCACTGCTTTTATTGTGCCCAGTTTGCACCGATTCGAGCAGCAGAAGCTTCCTTCTTACAGGAAGAAACACAAAGGGCTCAAAACCAGCAAGAGCCCAACAGCATCTCAGTGCCACAGTCCCAAATGATGTGCTCCCTCTGCTCAGCTGTGCTGGCCACCCCTTGCTGATKTAACCTGCTCGGATCCTGCCATTTCTTTTCCAGGCTCAGTTACAGAGGCAAAAGGTTCTGGCTGGTCCCAGCTACMACGTGGGGATGCCAATCTGGCCCTTGTTGGAGCTATCCGGGCACTCCAACAAACTGGGTAAAGCAGACTCTGTGGGTTCACAGCAGCATACAAAAACCTGCTCTTTAACCCAAAAGGCAATACGGAGAAAGAGCTTAAGGTGGATACAGCACAGGGAGGAGAAGCACACCCGCCACAGCTTTATTTCTTCAGGATGAAACCAGGCTCTTAAACCACTTTTAATCCTCCCATGACACTTCCTTGTGAGACAGAAAGGCATCAAAAGCTTCAGAGGTGCCAAAAGCAGCGACTCTCCTACTCCAAATGGGTAATGGAAAAAGTGCTCTGCACACAGGAAAGGAGCTAGTAGGTAGTCTGAGGCAAAGTCGCCTGAAAAGTAAAGCAAATAAACAAAGTTCATTAAAAGATATTCTTAAAATATTCTTAATAAAAAGCTTGCCGCAGCTGCGGACAGGACTACGTTTCCGTGAGCGCAAGCAAGGCGCACTGGCTCTGACAACCCTTACTTACCCTCCTATTCAACAACTTAGGACAGAGAATGGAAAAAGAAAACTGAGCAAGAAGCTAAAACTGGCAAATTAGAAGTTTCTGCCAGTCCTAGTTCACAGATCAGCTCCCTTCAAACTCTCTTGCTTCTCACCTTTCTACGGCATCAGTAAACAGGCATTGACAAATTAACCCCAAAGCCGCTGGGATTCTCAGTTCCACACAAAGGAGACGCTTCCGTCGTCACAAAAACGTGCTAGAACAGGGAGAACATCTGGCCAAGAAGCACCACCCTCCTCGTGTTGCCCAGCCACCTAGAGAGCACACCACTGCCTACGCAATCTCAAAATCAAGCTGAAATATCTCCACTTGAAAAGAGTTCCTCAAGGATGAGTCCCAAATGCTGTCATCAGTTGGGGCACATTGAGGACAATATGTGCTTTGCATAGAACAGCTGATCCCCACCAGCATCAACAAGTTTACAGAGACCAGAGGGAACATATGGCCTTCAGGTAGTTAAAAACCTTATTTATTAGGTGCTTTAATGTCACATTCACCAGTGAAGGAGAACACAGACTGCATTTTAGACCTTTGCCATCCTTCTCTTTTTTTCCCTCCTCTTTTGAATTTCTCCTCCATGCCCATCTTTGCTCATCTTCTGTCTTTGCAGGACCATTCAGCTCTTACTCTTCCATTTCCTGAGATAATCACAGAACTTGGTATTTCAAGACAGCTTTAGCACCGGGCAAGAGGGGTCAGAGGAGCTTTCCCAATTTCAGGTATCTTTTAAGCTTTCAAGAATCACAAGTACCAAGTTTAATTTGAGTATGAAGCAAATATAACGTTTTCTGCCATAAGGACCACAAAATCACTTCTGAATATTAAAAGCAAACTYAGACGTGGCTCGAGTATTTCAAGCTCGTGGCTGAACTTGAGAACAGGAGTCAGTTCAAGCGCTGTGCTGGAAGATGGAAGCACTTACATTTCCCCCTTCAACCACAGCTTGCCCCAGTTTAACGTGGTGAAGGCACTGTCCTGAGCTTCATAATTAGCCAGTTKAGCAATCAGATTAAAAGCAAAGGAGAGTTTCCCTGGAATACTCCCAGCTGCAGAATTGAGTCGATGAGCGTTTTGAAAATTCATTTAAAAACGTTAGAACTGAAGCTATTTCCCTTCCTCTGGGGACAAAAACATCAAAAAAAAAAAAAAAAAAAAAAAAAAAGCTGCCTTCTCCCAAAGTAGCTGCTCCTCCCATTGTTTCCACCAAGAACAGGGGCCACCTATTTCCCTTATTTTCCAAAGCCATCACATCCCTATGTCAGGGAGCACAACTGTGCAGTCACGTGCAGAGGAACAATGCACAGCGGTGACCCCGGTGGGCACGAAACCAAGGCAGATTCAGAAACGCCATCGGCTCCACACTCAGCAAGAAAGCTGGGAATAAAGGCATGGAAAGACAGAAAACATATGGATATGGACAGCGCACACCACAAACAAATGCACGTACAGATACCAATATATAAATATAAAGGAGAAACAGCAGTGAGGGAGAATACGTGAGACKTCTGCAGGGGAAAAAGCAACTGGGAGAAAACACAGGGTGGAAAAGGAAGAAAAGCTACGGGTAGCAACAAAACGTCGCTCAGCCCCACAGTCACACAAGGTTCTCCTTCCAAGCCATTAGAGGACAGGAGGGCACCTTTTTTGTCAGGAACATAAAGGTAGATTCTGAACCTGAGCTGAGCCTGAACAGGGCGCAGATGAGCAGCTTCCTGATTTCCATTCAAAACCTCAGAGAAGCCACCAGAAGACAAACTACTTCTAAGCCTTTGAGGGTTTGTTTGGGTTTTGTGCACTCAAGTTGTAGTTTTCGGTGCTTTTGCTGCTATCACCAACTTTCCTGCCCTGTTCTCTAACTACCATTTCTCTTCACATCCTCCTGGCTTCCCCCACCCCCAGGAAAGCTGTGGGCAAAACACTCCCAGCTCGAGCAAACACAGCTCCTCGGCCGGCAGTTTGGAGGCCCATTATTTGGTTAATCACTAAATCAAATGCATAAAATTTACAGAGCGGGACAGGAGCAATCTGGTGACTCCAGCAGAATGAGAACCCTGCAGTGGAGTCGGGGGAGCAGGAAACCGTAGCCACGTACATTTGTGGGAGAAGTGCTGGGAAAAGATGCTGCAAAGCTCAGTACAAACAGGTTATTGCATGTGGCCTGCTGCACACAAAACATGCGGTAACTGCTTGTGCTTGGGCACAGAGTGGGTGAAAACTTACAATACCATGAGGTCGCTTAATGTTTTAATTTGTACTTTATCTAGGTTCCTCTTTGGAATAATAAGCACAGCAACTATCTCGTTTTATTCTAAACACAGTAATCAAATCCAGAAAGATTCAGCATTTATGCTTAACAAAACAACTGCACTGAAAGAGCCGACAGGAATGTAAGTGACAAATCCCTATTTTCATAACCACGTTGAAGCCACACAGCATGTGACCTCTGTGGTAGGACTTACTGCACACAGTAAGTCCCAAATTTTAATTTCTCCATACTTGTTGGCAAAGCACCTTAAGATGAAGAATATTAAATGTTTTCTTTTCGGAAAATTATTGATTCAGAGCTACAGTAGTTTTARTGTCACTCTAAGGACATTACCTATAAACACAGACCTTTGTGTTGGGCCTATACTGCTGATATATTTGTACAGTTATTTTATAAGACTGTGAATAAAAACATTTAAATAGACTGTAAATAAAAACTGTAGTTTATATTTAAAATAGTATTTACCTTCAAAAATATAAAATTAGGATTCTAAAAGAGATTTCTACATTTGCATAAAATATTTTAATATTATCTGTGTTAGAAACCCTTGTTAGAAACCCTTGTAACAAGGGCTACAGTCTCCTTTCAGAATYTTACATCCCATCACTCTATCCCAAGATTAGCTTTCTATATGGCTCCATTTCTATGAAATGCTCTCTTTTTTTTAAGTCTGGCAGGAGTCTCCAACTCCCAGTTAAATTCTATTTATTAGAGTAATAAAAACCACACACATAAAACAGTCACATAAGTAAGACTCTTTCTGTCGGGCAGTTTCAGGACCTGGCACAGCTCAAAACAATTGTAAGACAAGGAATCGGACTCTACCTTATTTTTGAAGTACACCTCAATGGGCATAATGAAGCCTGCGTAGCCAGACTCTTCCACTTTGTACGGGGGCTCCTTGCATACTGTAAAGAAAACACACACACGTGAATTTGTATCATGGCGCAACTTGATCTGAGGCAGAAAGGAGTTGCAAGATGAGAAATGGCTCTTTGGCAACTCAGGATGCATCTAAAACATCAACCTTCCTGCAAACCAAAGTAAGATGGTGGCCACGGGCTTAGTTTAGAGCCTGAGCGCTGCCTTGAGCTCCTCCCACAGAAAGGAGCCATAAAATACATTCCCCTTCCCAATTCCTTCCCTCTCTCGTCAGTGAAACGAAATTACCTTTCTCTGCTGCTCCACGCTGCASAGCGCCTTGTAAAGGCGTCTTGCAAGAAACGCCACTTCCCAAAGGCTGGGAATTTGAGCAGCAGAGACAGGTAAAGTTTATTTGTTAAGATCCGACACCTATGAACCCCACCACGAGCTGCCTCTCGAAGCCGCAGAGCCCTTCCTACCATTTACCACTGCATTTTGTGGTAGCTGACTTGGAGGAATCCAGGAGCATTTGGCCGTGACTTAACTATACAGACCTGCTGTCAGCACAGACTCCAGACCACAGATGTTCTCCCTCTTGGGAGCTAGATGTACATGCATATAATGCATGCACTACAGTACATGTAAATAAAGTCAATTAAGTCATTAGGGAAAGTTAATGCAAGTCTTTACTTCTCTAAAGAATTTCAAGGGATTAATATGATTAGGAAAAGCTATTTCCCTCAAACCTAAAACACACACAGATTAATTTCCCTTAATGTTGCTAAATTATCCCCAGTTCTAAGCAGTTCTATCATCATAAAGACACCAGCAAGCAGCATTCAAACTTCCTTGCACTCAACTATGACCGAAGAGCATATATAAAAATAACCCAAACCTCTTGACTTGCTTTAACTTGGATCTCACATTAATTAAAACCCTATCACACTGGGCTTTTCTGTTTTTTGTTCACCACACAATTTAAGTACAACCCTGACACTCTTTGGTCAAAGGCAAAGAGGCACCATGAGCAAGTTTTAAGAAACATTTAAAAACCCTGAGAAGGAAAAAAAAAAAAATGCCTCTTTTAAAGGCAGGTGATAGAGCAACCCRCTGAGCTGAGGGGAGGTACTATTCTAACACTGATGTTTACAACAGGCTAAATACACTGGCTGACAAGAACTGTAGCAGAGCAGATTGGAACTTTTATTCTATAAATTAGCTTCCAGCTCAGTATCACAATTGCTTATCATGCACCAGTTTTACCACATCAATCTGAAAGAGATGTAATCAACATACACCAACTAGATGCCCGCTTTTATGAGCTGAACATCTTTGAGATACTCCCTAACCACGGACTGCCACAAATAACCAGTGAAGGCAGCAGTCCTACAACACCCTGCCTGACCAGCAAGCTTCCAAAAATGGTGTTTCAAAGAATGTGTGTTATAAAGTAATTTATAGCTGTACCCTCAGCCAGTCAGCGTTCCTGGTAACACTACCTAACAATAACACTGCACATGCAGTTACACAATCTTAGACAGATCTAAGGCTGTGCTGCTGCTGAAAAGGGCAAATCCTGCTTTTCCACCCTCAACCCTGCATTCCTGTTGTCTTGTGCCAACAGCGAGGTTCACATTGCTGCACACTCGCAAAGAGTAAAGGATAATCCAGCAGAAAACGATGTTACAAAATGTTTATATCCTCCCCAACCCAGCTGGGTGCACAGTGCTTGGGCGCATGCACGCAGCTGGACTGTACGGGCAGAGGTAAAGAGACCACCCTTTGGGCTGCACTGATTTATGTCAGCTTAAATACTACCAGACTTGGCACTTGCAGACTCAAAATTGCAGGAATATTGAGAGCTGCGTGCTGCCCAATGCAAAAGACAATATATAACAATATATATACACACCACTGCAGTGTTTGGAGACCTCACACAAATCACATGCTTCCAGCTTTTGTTGGCTCAGATCAACGAATGAAACTCATCTTTCCACTCTGCAACATGAATTACCTTCTGCTGTCAGTAAGTGTCTTCAGAAGCTCAATATACTAATGCTTAAATAAGAGGAGCTAGCATCTCACCTCTGACCCTTTCATTAGAAGAAAGGTCCCGTTCTCCCTGACCTCCCTCAATAGCAATGGTAAAGGTCAAGACTCAAGTGCATGCAACGCACATTTCTGCTCCTCTCAAAGGAAATATTTTATTGAAATGTGACAGTCCAAGACCAAACCAGGCCTGCACAATGCACTCACARGCAGAAAAGGCCTAATTACAGGTCGTCAAAAATCTACTCACCGCGTTTGGGCTTCGGGAAGCTCTCATGCAGCCGAAAGACCACCTTCTCCACAAAATGCTGGATGTCGCATTGCTCCGGGCCACGGACAAACACCATCCAGTCATGAGTAAACCCTTCGGTTGTGGGTTTTTTCCGCAGTTGGGCTCGGTGCCCCAGCTCCAGTTTTACTTGAACCGTACACTGTTTTAGGACAGAGGTAAGGACATAAGGAAAAGGAAGCGGGTTACATATTATATATAACGTTGAGCTTCACTGACAGATAATGCTAGCTATCAGCAGGAGAGGAACACAACTATCTCCAGAGGGAGATCAGGCTCATTCTGAAAACCAAAYTGTTGTCAGTCAGAGAAGGTATCATTAAAAATAGCTCCTAGCACCACTTCCCACCTAATTATTTTCCTAATATTAGTATTGCAGAGAAAAAATGTTTCAGAAGAGGAGCAGCTTTATCTGTATCACATATCAACTAAATTGTCAGCAAAGTTCTAATCACAGAACCTTTATTACTAGAAAGCATCAGAGGGAAATCAAGAACAACTTGCTTTCCACAGCTCACAGCATTCACAGCACGGACAAAACTGTAATCTTAAAAGAACAAATTAGATCATGAATTGCTGGACTCTGATATTGTTTGGAATAAACATGTCATTCGTTAGAGTACGGCTATGATGCTCCATGCATTTATGACATATTTTATTAATGGACTTTCAAAGACAAAGTCTCAAGCATAACAAATACTTGCACTAAAATGACCCAATTTCGATTTGCACTCCTGAATACAAATCTAATCACGGAACAAAGAGGGTGTATTCAGAGCTTCACTTGAAGCACGAACACACAGACAAAAATCAGATGTTTAAAACCAGATGAAATTAATCGTGAAGATCCAGATATTACTGCAGACCTCGCACGCGCAAGAAAAAKAATAAAGAAAAAGATGTAACATCAGAAAGGCAACTGAGTCAAAACAAAGTAAAATCCAACAAATCTTAGGGCAAGGTCTGCACAAGAAATCAAACCCGAGCTACTTGTCTCTTCACTAGATTAATTTGGGGCACACTCATTACCCAAACTCAACCAGCAGCATAATCATCTCAAACTCCACACAACCAAATCCAGCCTCAGCAAACGAAGTTCAGCAGGTGGGACAGTTTGTGGTCCTTACCCCCTTCTTCACCTAAGACTCAGAAGTAAATGTCTTGTTTCCTATCGCCTAAAATACAAGCTGAGAGCGTGGTGTTGCAAAATGAATCTATGTTCAGGCAATCTCTCAAATCGAGAGGAAAGCTTAGAAAGAGTAGGGGCCCCATTTCGCATTTGAAGAACTGCAGCAGAGATTAAGATCAAGATTCATGCTCAGCAAAGTGTTTTGCATATCCACCCTGACACGTTAAAAGAAAATGATGTTCAGAGTATGATTAGTACTTTCTGAAAAAAAGCATAAATCATTCTTAAAACTCAGTATTTTTTTTCCTTTGTAAGAAAAAAGATCACACAGGAGTTTCACCAGGCATCAAAGCTTGATCTTCTCGAACCCCAGTCCAGCTCCAACTCCAGCTGTAACCGTAACACATTCCTCCAGGCTATTATCTTCACAATAAATACCTTCCGCTGCCATCCCGCGCATCCATTCTAAGACTCGCGGACAAAAGCATCTAACTGCTTCATCTACCTTACGGAAATCTTTCTATAGGTGACCTTCCCCTGCAAGTCGGTTCGTTTGGCAAGTTGTCTTTCCCTCTCTGTGCTTCAGGACACATCTACACCGGCTCCATCTCGTCCCCGCACTAAAAACGAACCGTGCTGCAGTCTCTTCTTGTGTGCCATATTAAGGAGCAAGGAGGGAAGAACAGGCACATGGCGCTTTGCTCAGAGAAATCTCTTCTGCGGCGGCAGCGCAGGATGTGCAGCCAGCCTGGCTCAGCCCGCGGCTCGCTCCGGAGCTCCGCGCGGGCTGGCCTCATCCCGGGGCTCGCGGGCTCCGCGCTCGCCRCCCGCTCCGCTCCTTCGGTGCCACGATCGCCCCTCAAACTGCGCTGCCTCTGCCAGCTGCGGCGGGGCGCGAGCGGCTGTCACTGCCCCGGCACCCGCCGGGGACGCGGGAGAGGTTTTAGCTGGGAAGCAGAAGGGCCTRGCTGGCCCAGAGCAAACGGAGGCGCAGCAGGGCCGCGAGCGAGGAGGGAAAGTTGGGCTCCTCACGCACGCCTCGCATCGCTGCGAGCCGGGGAGCCGGCTCGAAAGCAGCAACCAGAGCTGCTCGCCGGCAGCACGAGCCCAAGCTGCCCCGGGGAAAACGGAGCGCTTTTCTGCTCGGTTGGCTGGGTGTTCGCCACCCCAACAAAGGGGAGCCAGAAGCTGCTCGCGGCTACAAAGGGGCCGCGGCCTCCGCAACTTCTCCCGCGCCCCCCTCCG